CACTTATCTTGGAAGTCTCATCAGTCCTTGTGGTCTGGTGTGTGACGAAATCTCAGCACGAATACAGAAGCTCGATTAGCTTTTACCAACTTGCGTCATTTATGCGTAGGCGAGATATCTGTCTATCAACCGAAGGACGTGTTTACTGCGCAGCAGTTCGTTCGGTCCTAATTTATGGGAGTGAAACATAGCCGGTAAGAGTAGAAGATATTCGTAGGTTACTAGTATTCGATCATAGGTGTCTTCGAAACATTGCTCGTGTATCTTGGGACCACCGAGTAAGTAATGCAGTTGTTAGGAAGCGGATACTAGGTAAGGATGGTGAATCAACTGATGAAGTATTGGAACTTTATCAGTTGAGATGACTGGACACGTGTTACGTATGCCCAACCACCGACTGCCCCAACGTACGATGTTTTATGGTGTAGGAGTAGGTTGGAAGAAAGCTAGGGGCGGCCAGACCAGAACATGGCACAAATCGATGAAGTCACTGACAAGTGGACTGAGTCATGTTGATAGGTGTAGACTACCTGGTTGGGATCAGCGAGACGATAACAACCGATGGTTAGAGATCTTAAATGACATGGCTCAAAATCGTTTGCAATGGCGCAGGTGCATCCACTCTTTGTGTTCTCCCAAATTCTAATCTTTTGAATTCTTCATGTCCCTTTTTTTTCTCTTTCCAAATTTATTTCACTGTATTATACTCCTTGAATAACATCTTCAAACCCTAATCTTTCCGATTACTACCTATACTTTTACTACCTCTACCACCACGGGATTTGAACCGACCACTGCATCTCTGTGCTAATGTGGTATGGCAACTCGAACTGATGTACGTACGCACGACGTTCTACGTTGTTACTGACTTACTGACTGATCTTAATTATTAAAAATGAAAAAGTGATTCTGAATAGAAAGTGTTAAACAAATATACTTCAGATTAGTAACCTTAGATAGTTTAAAAAACTGCGATGATATGTGTGCATTTTTTTCAATTAAATAGTCAGTCAGTGTATGACCAGGCACATATGTCCGTCAGTCCAAGTTGCCACAACAAGATGAACACCAAATTTATAGAAGTAGTTACTTCAATGGTAGTAATATATGAAAAATTGAGTATGAGGATATGATACATAGAGAAAGAATCACTTCGTAGAAAGAGCGGTATAAAGCAATTTTAATCTCTCGGTTTAAGGTAAGACAAATAGTGTATACATCTGCGCCATTGTGATCGATTCTGAGCCATGTCATCCAGAGTCTCCAACCATTGGTTACAATAGTCTGTACGCTGGATTTTATTCAAACAACTTACCATTTGTAACAGGATCGGAGTAGGTAAAAATTGTTTTGTAGTTATTACTAGCATCCTGATCGACAGACTTGGTTTGGGAAAAATTAAAAGCTGTACTAAAATTGAATGTTTGTGTCTGACCATCTAGACCATTGAGAGCGATTAAATCTGATGGCTTTGTAAATTCGATTTGTTTAACATCACAGTCCGTTTCATAACTGAATTTGTACCCAGGTTGAATGAAAGAACCTGAAGTACTAATATCTTCAGATTTATGACGAATTAAGGGCCATTTGAAGTGGGTCTTTGCATGACGGTCACAAAACTTATCATCATTGTTGATTAAATGAGAATCGTATGACAACTTAGTATTTAACTCCCTCTACAAAAGTTAAAAACAGTAAAACTTCCTAAGTTTCTTGAGTAAAAAATATTCCATCGTTTGATAATTAGTTCATACACACGTTTGTTAAGAACACCAATACTGTTTCAACTAAATTCATTCAAATGCCGAAACTGTCCAATCTAACTGATACATCTAGGTTGTTATTTAAGAGGTCACGAAGTCGGACGATGCAGTGTTGCAAGATGTAAGACTACCATACTCATCATACACAACACAAAATTTATGTATTATAGTAATAAAAAAACGTAATTTAGTGTCCAAAAACATCTACTTACTAATTTATACAGATTAAACCGGAGACTGTTTCCTTAATTAAATCCTTTAGCTATGTACTGAATGAGGACCACCTACAAAGTACACGATCCAACGATAAATGGAAATGTGATATTTGAAACTTGGCCGATTGATAAATACACACCAGTGACTTGTCGATATTTATAGGTACGCTAGGCGAATCTCAACTTCCATGACGTTGGAAGCTCAGAAGTATAATTCATTAAAGTTCATTTAAAAGATGATGTAAAACTTTATCAAAGTGAAAAATGCCAAGCCCCATAAAATTATTGTACTTTTCATGACAATCGCAAACAATCTTACAATGAGAAAAACTTTTACTGCCATTCCGAAACCACGGTGCTCATTCCATTTAGAATATTCTAACAACTGAATTCCACATCAAATAAAGCAACAAGTGCTACTAACTAAAGATATACCACCGCGCGTTATGTTGTTACAAAATCTCACAGTTTGACGAAAACTTGGCAAAAACACAGAAAATTCGGTTGGCTCTTGACAATTTCCGTCACTTATGCAGCAAGCGAGATATCTACCAGTCAACTAAAAAAACAAGCACGCTGCTTAGCAGTTTGCTTCATTTTCCCTTGTGGCTTTGAAGTACGGCCTTTAAAAAGTGTATATTTGTAGGCTACTAGTATTCGGCCCGAATCCCTTTGAAGCATTGCTCATAGATGTTGGGGATATTGTGTCAACAATTTTGGGGTTAGATGCAGAATACTAAGTAAAGATGGGGAACCTCTTGATGAGGCAGTTAATCTATATCGACTGAAATGGTAAGGACATGTGTGACATATATCCATCCACCAGCTACCACGTTGTGCGATGTTTACTGGCTTAGGAGTACGTCGGATCAAAGTTAGGGGTCATCAACACAAAACATGACATCAGCTCATAAAGACACTGAGTTAGAGTGAGTTAAGTAGGTACGTGCCCCCAAATGCCCTCGTATGGCCGAGAGTGGAGAGAGTTTGCTTTCCCTCTCGAAATGCTCTCACATAGCCACGCGTATATAGCCTCTGCCTGGGAAGTCCTACTCACTGCCTTCTCGTATCACGGGTGTTGTTTACGAAATTGAGAGGACGAAAAGCGAATGTCCGGCGCTTTAACCGGGTGCATATGGGCAGATGAACCAATCGCTGGTCACCGGCTACCATGGGACTGCATCTCCTTACGATGCTCCACTGCCTTGTGGATCAGACATTTAGGTTGAAGGCTCCAGGTGTGACGCCCTAAGAAAACCACCTGCTTTGGTTCGGGCATTCGGATAGTATCCGAGTTTTATAAAAATGCGATAGTATAGTGGTAAGTATCTCCGCCTGTCACGTGGAAGGCCCGGGTTCGATTCCCGGTCGAGGAGTTGGCTTTCGACCGTTGTTGCTACCTTGACGTGGTGGTCGGGCTTGCCTATCGTGATGAAGCAACCGAGCTATACTGACTGGAACAACTGTTTCTCAAGGTCCTACCACATCAGAAAGGTCGGTTGAAGAGCGGTAAGACTAAAAGCAACAAACCCAAGGTCCGAAGGCGAAGTCGTACCGCTGACTGTACAGAGGTGTGACAGCAGTAAGGTGTTTCCTTCAGACAACCAGCATGACAGCGATGCTGCCTTCCCACAAGGAGGGGTGGGGTTAGAAAAGGTCGGCCCTAAAAATGCACACCTCGCCTTATCCCACGGATATCCGTCTCCGGCAGTAAGGCCTCAACAAGTACGGAGCTAACACAAAAATTGCCCATAAAAAGGTCGTGTGTGACCGACCTTAAGCAGTTGTCCCTTGAGCACTGCGGTCACGCTCCCAGGTCAATAAGACCACCTCTAATCCAATTTCCTTTTCAGGTACCTCCAGAACAACCCTTCCACTGTGTGGGCAACCGGGAAGTGATAACCGCCCTCATATCTCTAACAGCACCCAAGACCACTGTATTCATAATCAACCTCCCTCTTCAATTCCTATTATTCCTCCTACGTCGACTTTCAACTCTAAATTTCCTCTTTCGGCTTCCTCCTCAAGTGTTACCATGTACAACGATTCTAGTGCTCAAAACACTGTCCCAGGTCTACTGAAACCTCGCTCCAAACTACACATTGGAGCCTTCAATGTACGCACCCTATGTCAAATCGGTCAGCAGGCTTCCTTAGCTAAAACCCTAGAATCTCGTACCATTGATGTATGCTGTGTCTCCGAAACATGCATACAGGATCCCAGTGTGGTCATTCACTTGACCTCGCCTCGACAACACAGAGAGCCAACGAGATACACCCTCCGTGTATCTGGTGACCCGATGGCCAGTTCTCGTGGACTGGCAGGAGTAGGAATAGCACTAAGCATGAGGGCGGAACAAGCACTGTTAGAGTGGATCCCCGTCAACAGTCGTCTATGTGCTGTTCGGCTAAACGGCTCCGTAAGAACTCGGAAGGATAGGGACACACGTCATTGCCTTTTTGTCGTTTCTGCCTACGCTCCCACCGACTGCAGCCCAGATGAAATGAAAGATGAATTTTACAGAAAGCTATCTGAACTTCTTCAGAAAGCTAAACGTCCAGACATAGTACTTGTAGCAGGTGACTTTAATGCCTACATAGGTAGTTTAAACCAAACAGAAAGGCATTTAGGTGGGTATTTTAGTATACTGGCACAACGAACAGATAATGGTGATCGTCTGCTGCAACTGTGCTCAGACAATCGCTTAGTTTTAGCAAACACAAATTTTAAGCATAAGGAAAGACATCGTCTAACATGGCGACCCCCTACACCAAACCAACGATGAACTCAAATAGACCATATTGCCATCAGTCATCGTTGGAGAGGGTCGGTAGAAGATTGTCGCTCATTCTGGAGTACCTGTTTGGACTCCGACCATGCCCTAATACGGGCACGCATCTCCTTGCGCCTCACTGGACGCAAAAAGCCATATTAAAAAGACCCATTAGAGCTGAGTTGAGTAACGAGAAAACCAAAAGTAGGTTCCAGGAACAACTGAGGTCATACTAAGGTAGTTCTGAAGACGAGGCTGACCCAGATGTTGCTTGGAAAGACATACAAGCAGCTGTGGAAACAGCAGTGACATCTATTAGCGACTTAAACCACAGAGTTTCAAAGAACCAGTGGATTTCTTCAAAGTTTATCACACTGATGGATTCTCGCAAACTCGTCCCATCAGGTTCCGAACATGATGAAGAGCGACAACAAATCAGATCTAGGTTAAGAAAAAGTCTAAGAAACGACCGTGAGCAGTGGTGGGCAACGAAAGCAAAAGAGATGGAAAAGGCGGCGACTATAGGGAACACAAGACAGCTTTACAGACTAATAAAAGAAACTGGAATTAATAAATCAAGTGTAAGTGAGATTATATCGGAAAAAGACGATACACTCATCTGCTCCCAGTCCAGGCGTTTAGAACGATGGGCGGAACATTTCAGAGAACAGTTCAGCTGGCCTTCAGCTACTCTACAACTACCCTCCATTCCCAGACAATGTGAAGGGAACATTGAAGTAGGTCCCCCAACTCTTGCTGAAGTTTAAAAGGCTATAGTTAATCTGAAACGAGGAAGGGCAGCTGGTCCAGATGGATTGGCTCCAGAGGTCTTTAAGGATGGTGGTCCAATTTTAGCGATAAGGTTGACTAATATTTTAACTAAAATCTGGGAGTTAGACGTTATTCCATCTAACGGGTCACAATCACTTATCGTCCCAATTTATAAGAAAGGGTCAAAATCATCCTGTGACAACCACAGAGAGATTAGTTTAACTAATATAGTATCTAAAATACTAGCCTCGATAATTATCAGACGCCTAACTAAGACTCGTGAACTGCAAACACGAGAGAATCAAACTGGCTTTAGACCTGGTCGTGGCTGCATCGACCACATATTCACCATTCGTCAGATTCTAGGACACAGGCATACTTATCGGCGTCCGACAATGGTGGTCTTTCTCGACTTAAAAGCAGCATTTGACTCGGTGGACCGCGAGATTCTGTGGCAGTGTCTGTCATTGAAAGGCGTACCCCAGAAGTACATAAACCTTGTAAAGGCTCTTTACTCGAACACTACTAGTCGAGTCAGAGCTTATGGCGAACTGTCATCTGCTTTTACAACCTCAAGTGGTGTCCGTCAAGGCTGTCCACTTTCTCCATTTCTGTTTAACTTCATCATAGATCTACTGATGGAAATAACTTTCTCGTCGACTGAGTTCTCGGGTATTGATCTCCTACCAGGAGGTCCACTTATCGACTTAGAATACGCAGATGACATAGTCCTGTTTAGTGAAGACGCTGACAAAATGCAGAGTCTTCTGGTAGCACTGAGCAACAATGCCAGAATGTTTGGAATGCGCTTCTCTCCCTCTAAATGCAAGTTGTTGCTTCAGGACTGGTCTGCGTCAACACCTGAACTAAGGATAGGGAGTGAAGTAGTCGAAAGCGTTGACAACTTCACTTATCTTGGAAGTCTGATCAGCCCTAATGGGTTGGTGTCTGACGAAATCTCAGCACGGATTCGAAAAGCTCGTTTGGCTTTTGCCAACTTACGTCACCTGTGGAGAAGGCGAGATATCCGTCTATCAATTAAAGGACGAGTATACTGCGCGGCAGTCCGTTCTGTTTTACTTTACGGCAGCGAAACATGGCCTTTAAGAGTAGAAGACAGCCGTAAGCTACTAGTATTTGACCACAGATGCCTTAGAAATATTAATGGCGTCTGTTGGGATCACCGGGTAAGTAATAGTGAGGTTAGACGCAGGGTATTAGGTAATGATGGTAAAGCAGTTGATGAGGTTGTTAATCTTCGTCGACTGAGATGGTTGGGCCACGTGTTACGTATGCCTGAACACCGATTACCACGTCGTGCAATGCTAACGGGTGTTAGAGATGGTTGGAAGAAAATTAGGGGCGGCCAAACCAGAACGTGGCATCAGTGCTTGAAGACACTAACCTCTAGTCTGAGCCATGTTGTTAGATGCAGACTACTTGGTTGGGGTCCGCGTGACTTTCGTAACCGATGTTTGGGAGACTCTGGGTGACATGACACAAAATCGATCACAATGGCGTCGGTGCATTTACTCCCTGTCTTCCCTTAAACTAAGAGATTAAAATCACTTCATATCTTTCTTTCTACTAACTAATTCTTTCTCCTATATATTACCACGGCCAAGAGTGAGGGAATCAGCTCTCTCCCTTTCGAAATGCTCTCACATGGTCACGCGTATATTGCCTCTGCCTGGGATGTCCTACTCACTGCCTTCTCGTATCACGGGTGTTGTTTACGAAATTGAGAGGACGAAAAGAGAATGTCCGGCGCTTTAACCGGGTTGGTGGACACCAAGGGTCCACCTAGCTGTGTTGGAAGTCCCTGATTCCAAACCAATGGTGCACATGGGCTCCAGTATCCTGAATGAACAAATGGTGTATGGACCAATCGTTGGTCACTGGCTACCATGGGACTGCATCTCCTTACGTTGCTCCACTGCCTTGTGGATCAGACCTTCATGTTGAAGGCTCCGAGTGTGGCCCCCTAAGAAAACCATCTGCTTTGGTTTGGGCACCCGGGCAGTATCAGAGTTCTCACACATATCAAATGAGATTTGCGTGGCACATATGTATTTGGTGCCTCCTCGTACCAATATCTATGCGTTAAATAAATACATAAAATAAAAAGTAGGTACGTGCAGAATACTTGAAGTTTGGGTAGTTATCATAAGCGTTGATTAATGACATTTGGTGAAATGGTTCATAAAAGATCTTAATAACTTAAATGGTTGAGCTGATAAGGTTATTTTGGCGAGACTATAATTTATGGACGAACCAATAGGGTATAAGATAATAAGTCTCGGATATTGGCGCGAAATTCAGTCATCCAATTTGGTTAAATAGTTTTGGCATTATAGCTGATGTCAGTTTGCGATGAAAACCCAAAATATAATTCCTAACATTAATCATTAACTGTAAAACATAATTCTAATTCCTCACAGTTTTATAACCCTCATTTGGTACGAGATATTACGTGGAGACTATCAAGGTCAGTCTAGCTTAGTTCAAAGTTCGTCCATAAATTATAGTCTCAACTTGGTGTGCTTTGAACAGGATGAAAATGACAACCAAATAGGATTCTAAAGTGATATCTGTTGCCAGGTTACACAATATACATGTATTAATACATGTAAAAATTTCACCAACTTTTCTATTGAGCTTAACATAACAAACCTTGGATTGAATATAGAAAGTAGTGAGTTAGCTAGCATACGTCGTGGCTTCATAAAAAAACAGAAGAATGCATTCGATATTTTACTTTTTGATGTAGGCATTCAGAACATTCAATCCTTTGAAATGATAGTGAAATACATAGAGCTGACAAACAAGTAAAAGTGAGCTCTGCAGTAACTATTTTTTTAAACATATCTACAAAAAAATTTTAAAACGCGACATCAAAAAACTACGCCACTTAGAGCTGACAAAACTTGCGTGTCAGTAACATATAGATAAAAAATGACTGCAAATTAAAAAAACAGACGGATACAAAAAATATGTGAGGCTCCAATGCTCTACATATTTTCTGTGAGCCGTGCAGCTCACTTTTACGTTATGTAGAGTATAACGAACGCAAGTTCTAAATATACGTGTTAACTAGAACAAAAATCACAATTTTAACTCTTTCAGAACGTATACTTCAGTCAGAATCTTTACGTTAACACTATTCTTTACAAGAATACGAGCGATAAAATGATGGCAACGGTAAGTAGATACCAAGGAGTAAAAGCATTCTGACATACTCCAAGTAGAACCTTACCATAAATAGTTACATACAGCTTTCGTTGAGAGACCTTGAGGACCGAAATATCTGCCGTCCTGTCGCAGCTATGTCTCTATATTTACTATGATAAAACAAAACTGACCTTCAATATCATGTGATCATTTTCAAAGTAAAACTTGTAAAGAGTACGTGAAGAAGTATCGAATGAAGTTAGGGAAAAAAGTGGGAATCACAATTTATTATCAGGTACTACTTCAGATAGTTTGATTGAACATCAAATGAATTCGATTTTTTGAAATATTCGAAAACTAAAATTACTAAGAGCATGATATTCATTATTCATAGATAAACTTCAAAGATAGATATTTTGTACCGCCTCGTAATACTATGTGACTAAAACATCCGGATTCATCTAGAAATAGTTAATATGGGTTGAATAGTCATGTGTATTTCACTCAACCGAAGAAGCTAGCCGGTGCAATGTAAATCAATCCATCGAGAGCAAGTATTTTTATTGATCACTCCATCAAAGGACCATCAAGAACGAAATAAATTTTTCTTGAGTCCAAATAAATTTCACAGACACATCATATATTGGCCTGCTATATAAAAGTGTACAACTAATTGATAAAAAGACATAATGATTTCTCTGAAAAAGAATGCGACTACTATCAATACTGTTTCAGAACTTTATAATACAGCAAAGGTTGTAACAAAAATATCTTTCCTTTTCTTTCCTCTTTGTCGCAAACTTGTATTTCATCACATTTACAGAAAAACAAATGTCGAATAAGCTACTAGCGAAATAAAATAGATATGGTTTAGAAGTATCTCCAAAGAATCCTACGACTTCTGAGTGCCCATAACGTCGGATCTCCAATGATCTCTTGGCGACTATGTGTAGGGGATCTATTATTTTGACTGCCTAAAGGATCTGTGATTAGTGATTCAATTTTTGTCAAATTCTTCACTACGAATGGCAAAGCGTTTATGATATCGACGTATTGAAGGTGTTATAATAAACGGTCCTCTGATTTCTATGTGATGCGAAAAGGATGTGACAAGCTGTCTACACTTTAAGTCAGTTAGAATAATTTAAGGTGTTTTTCAACAACTCATCATACTTACTAGTAATAGATTGCGATGTAAGACGCAAGATGATGAAAGCCAGGCCCGTATCATGCATTTGTTGTCAAAAATGTGGTATGTACAAATGTGGTTGTACTCTAGGTTTTTAGAGTTATTATTTATTAGTGCTGACTGACGGTATACGTTGTTCACGGATCATGAGATTTCTAGAGAACATTTATTTATGTCCGAAATTTAGATTGTCATTTGTATGAGTCTTCTTTTTGGCTTTCAGTGCTACTCTAGGATGGACGTTCTTAAGTTATTGAGTGTAGTTGGTGAAACTACACTTGCTTACACTTTACTGTTGATTACAGATTGTATTGAGATCACGAACTAAATTAAGCCAGATAGCTTTTCTGAACCTGGATACAGTGGATAGCTATTTTGTTCAATTATAAGGCCCCTTGGAAATATGCGTCCGCCACCCTGCTGTCAGAAATTGAATCCGTAGCCATAGGTTAAAGTCCGACCAAGATCTTGAAGGAAAGGTAAAAATATTATCCTCAAAGGTTGCAGAAGTTCTGCCTTTTATTCTACGCAGTTATTACATATTTTTATTCCCCAACCCCACTGAAGAGTAGTGTGTAAACCAGTTCAACCGCGCTCTTTATTTTCTCCTGTTGTGAGGTAATAATCGGTGCAACCACTATTTTGGAGCCTTCTGATTTAAACACACATTGGATTAATAGGCGTTAGTTTAAAACTTAATCCTAGAAGTTCACTGCCCAGACAGCTTGGAACCTAAAAATGTCGGACAACTGATTTAGTTTGAGGTTTGCTTTATGGTCTTGGGAAGTGGTTTGACTCAGGGACATTATCATGTCTGCTACATCAGTGAATCTGTTGACATTGATACTTTCATTACCAGAAGCTCTAGTTTTCTCAAGGTTCTTTGGAACCTAACTTAGCTACAAAAATTACATAATTGTATTTCGCCTGAGGTTCGGTAACGTGTTCTCCGTGGGTTCCACGTTTTTAAGCAATCACTCGATAAATTGTTGGACTTACAAAGAGTAAGTTATAACAACTCTCAGAAATATCGGATGGTAAGTATAGATCAAGTCTGAGTATTATGTAATCAAACTTTTCTAAGATTCGATATAATGTGAGCAGTTTGGTTTATGGACTTATTATCAGGGAATGTGTTTTTAATCGTATGACAGACTACATGTTTCTCGTAGGAAAATTGTCTCAGTAGCAAGACTCCAAACAAGTCGTTTACTTACACTAGTTAACACCCATGAAGGAGCATAGGACGCTCACCAGCACTCCCCATCCTACCCTATACTGGGCAGTTCCAGTCGCTATTCACTGTTTTCATGTCTACTTCCCATCCCGACAGTGTTTTTGGTCTTTCTATTTTTCCTTTCCTTCAGGAATCCATGTCAGTGCTTGCCTCCAACGTCGTTTCTTAATTTGCCCTTCAGCTAGAAGCTGGTTCGTCTTCTCCCACAGTAGGCTGTTGCTGATTGTATCCGTTCAACGGATATAGAGTAGAAAATTGTTTATAAATACTTGTACTTTCTGGATGATTGCTGTCCCAATCAATAACGTCTCATGATACCCTCATATCCATTTTCGTCCATTCCGATTTTGGCGTTTATATCTTCCAGGACCGTGAGATCCTTTCTTGGGCCTTTACTATGATTAATTGCAGCCTATTGTAGGACTGATCTTTATCATCGTCATTGCTATGACAACATTCATTGTGATTCCCTCGTAAATTGTTCAGAAGGATGCTTTGATCATCCAGGATCCTTGTGATTTTCATTCTATGAGTGCATTCCGTACTTCTTTAGACAGCATCAGAGCATATCTCTGCGTGTATGGAGCATATTCCTCGTCGTGAACGGAGTACAGCAGCGTTTCTCTCGTATCTAGCCTTTGTTATTCAGCTTGAGCCCAATGGGTTTCGAGTACCACCAAGTTGTACTCCTGATTTCCGTCACTACGTGAACGGTCTCCTGGATGTTCCGTGAACCTGCTAGAGTTGAAGCTATCACGAGTTCACTTAATCTGCGAACGAGAAAAAAGACTCGGTGACCAAAGACCAGTAAGCTAGCTATTGATGCATCCCAGCCCCGCTAACTAGAGGGAGAAGTCCAAGCTTGGTATGGGGAAGTATATTCTGCAAACAGCCAGAAACGAGCGTTAACAACAAACACAATTCAAAACGTATATATACAGTACAAAACTGCCCTCGAGGAGAGCTACCAAATAGCAAACTAAAGATGCAGCGGACCAATAGCATTTAAAATATTTCCCAGTGGGAGATACGATATGAAGGGGACAAGAGCACCTTTGGCGCGAAAACAAAGAAATTCAAATTTTCTAAATAAAATTACAAAATTAGGTCCTTTCCCAAGTGAGTTCTGTGGATTTAACGTTCCCAACACACCCCTTTTTTAAAGCGTACTTTCCTGGGGTCGAAATGCATCTTGACTGTTGCTCGCCGCTGTTGGAGAGGCCACCTTCTGGAACAGAGATCAGCTTGTTGTTGAGCTTCTTCTCGTGGTGGGGCTGCTGTTAAGTTGAAGGTATCAAGCAGGATGTCAAAGGGAAGATTTATTTCTGTTGATGGGCGGTTTAAGGCTATACGTTTCCGTAGTTGTTTTCGGTGTGTAGTCCACGTGTCTCTTCCAACCGATAGCATTCAAGGTAGTTCCCAGTGGGAAATACGACGTGAAGATGACAAGAGTGCCTTTGCGCGAAAACAAAGAAATTCAATTTTTCTAAATAAAATTACAAAATTAGGTCCTTTCCCAAGTGAGTTCTGTGGATCTAATATCCCCAACAGAACCTATATTGATTGTTGCTCTGGTTATTCGAAGGGGCATCGGCCTCATAACTTTCGAAATATCTCGGCTTTTATAATGAATTGTCATAATTCTTCCCTCAATTTGAAGAGCAGAGTTGAAACGGTTTGATTTGTTTAATCTGGTTAACACTTTTTTTTACCAAGGTCGTATCCTACGATATAGGACTGCTGACCATATGCTCAGTTCTACTTCTTTACCTGGGCTACGGACCAACAGTAGGCACAGTTAGATAGTTTCGAAAAAAATAATATAGAAATAAGGAGTTTTGGATCAGTTTAACGTTTGAAAGCGATTTTATATTCTTCAAAAATCATCATATGAACTTAAATCCATCTTCCTTAGTTTTGGAAATATGTTCACGAATTAAATGATATTTTGGTCGGTCTCAACTATAATGTAAGGTGTTGCTGTATTACTAATATTTCAACACCAAGCGTTATATATTCTTAGACAAAAGTATTCGTCCTTATAAGTTGATGTCGACATTTTACCACAGATCTTGATCCTTCGGTGCAATTAGTATGGTTCAAAACCCTGTGCCATTTTCGCGTTCTAATACTTATCACTAGCACATCCATTTGTAAACATTCACACAGCATCTTAGATTAACCTCCTAGAAGTGTAAAACGTATGGAGAATAGCGAGACGAAATGATTGCAAATGTGTGGTGTCGCGTTCCGCTCCATTACATAACATGTCAGCATAAACAGAACTTAATGCTATAGACCATGTGATTGGAGTTATTCATCCGCAAATCGTCTGAAATTAGTTCCTCACGATAGACGACTTCTTGAGGGTCGACAAACGTCCGTGACTATGACCGCATTTCCCATTCAAAATGCCATCCCACCTTGTTAAACTGAAATATGACATTAATTCTATGGTGTCAAAGCACCTATGATAATATGAACACGTCAGGATTCTCAGGACAGAACTGACCTCCTACATACAGAGTAAGCTAGGTTTTGCATAAATACAAGTACAAGCAGATATCTAAATATCTTCTTACACATCCTTGTCGATATTTGGAACAGGCAATATCTTTAGTAGCTTTACACTAAGACCCTTTCTTTTATTCTGTCAGGAGGAAATAAGGCAACCTGTCTCAATCGCGTCAATTTGTTCAATACTAATTGTCCCAGTGTGTATCGCCGTCATCCAAAAAAATAAAACGGACGTAAAAGTTGTCGTGGGTTAACACTCGTTGCTCCTGCATTTGCGTAAAATATTACATTAGTGTCCCACGTTTATACACAGAATCTAGTGTCCCTGTTGGCGTGACTACACAGTAAATGACAGAGAATCTATCGAAGTTCGCGTCAAGGTTCAAAGCTCACATTAGCATTTACCCTAACCAAGAGGTTGCTTCTGAAAGTTGACAGAAGACTAGCATAACCCGAATATGAATGCATAAATTGCCCATCCATGTTATCGTAACTAGTGCTGCCAAATCTACCAAATCATTCAAACACCTATTCTAATCAAACTGACACGTAGTAATTTACTTTTTCTAAGCAACCACCTAGTATTTATATACACCAATTATATTCCAAATTGTTTGCTCCTGATATTAGATACTCGTTCAAGACGAACAATTACCGATAAACTAAGGAGAATAAATAGAAATTAAATATTCGAAAACAATGTAGATCTTGGAATACAACGTTTTAGGCGTTTGAATCAATGTAAACGTCTCCTCGAAAAAGCGTTATAATTAAAAAGTAATCAAGCACAGTTTTAAAAAACTAACAGAAAAAGAGAGTGGAAATAACATGACCACTATTCACAATAAAACTGACAGAAACAAAGAAATTCTCATTATAACTTATAACACTGTGAAACTGAATACAAAAGTTTAGTAGAATCAAACATAGAACTACGCTTAGTTCTTTCTGAAATAATAAGTTAATTTACAAACACATACATTGTGCATCGCTTTTTGTAAAAAAAGATAACACATAACACGTCTTGGAAACAGTGTAGATTCATTTACGGAGTAACATTAAATTATGCATTTAATTCATTGAATATCACAGACAATCAGCGAACAGAGGTGATAGAACTATTGACTTTTTAAAAGCATATCAATCTACAAAAAATTATAGGCAAATAAATAACGATATTAAGTAATGCATCAACGAAATATATAAATAACTGAGGTAAACAACATAGTTCATCCAAAATTTACATAAACGTCACAACTCGTGACTTCATACGTAAAGAATTCGGCTTCTATTCGGGTAACTACTAGACAATATCACTAACCTATGTACCAAGTCAATTACATGGATATGTTGACCACGTTGCTAAAGTGTTCATATATGAAGTTGACATGAAATGTATGAGAACTGGAAACCTATTAAAATCACTCAATTACGTATTTTCTAGTTGATAAAGTCAAACACCCATACTCCGTTTTACCTATTTCGAAGTTTCGACAGTCAGATTGTAAGGACAGACCTCATGAAGCAGTATGTGTCAAAGCAGTGCTGAAATGTTTATTTGGTCGAAGGTGATTAAAGAAAACCCTGAACATAGGTTTTGAGCTAAACGGTACTGGTCAGCAAAGTGTACTTAGAACCTTGACGGAGCTGATGTTCTCTGAAGAATCCGAATCCACGTCCCCAGTCTCACAGTCTGGGGAGTAACCACTGACCATTTTAGACAGACCATGACTCTGTAAAACTGGTAATTTCACATTGGTTTATAACTGAGAAGTGATAAATATCATATTTGTCTAGTCCTTAAGGCTGGCCGAATTTCAACGATTAATTTGTAACGTGACACCTAGAGATTAGCACCCTACAGTGAGCATCAGTTCCATCAGAATTCCGGAAACGCCTGGCAGCCCCAACTAGCACGACACATAGCTTAAACAGGATTTTCTGTCACCCATCTCTAAAACACAAAACGTCTGTTGGAGAGCTCCAAAATACTTTTCGGGAAAGTTAACAGGGATCCAGACAATGCTTAGAAACATTTTACACGATCAGGACTGAGCGAAAGTTTCTTCGAAACATCTAGAAAGATAGTAAATCACGTGTCGAGTTTTCGGTTGGACAGTTACATTTTTATTGCTATGTTCAGCATACTTTCAGAGCTTTCCAGACAGTTAAAGTCAAGTTATATAGCTCAAACAAGCACGATTATCTGCGCATACTTTAACTGTGGAGAAAAGTTCTTATTTTCACTTTGCGCCGTTTCTTTCGTGTTCAAGTCGCCAACTAGATTTATTCTGAACTATCAGAAAAATGTTAAGAAATCGGATCAAGAGTTCATAAAACAAATAAATAAAACTACATCAATAATTGCTTACCTGCGCTCTATACATTTCTTTAACATCAGCTAAATCCAATTTAAGTTCATTATTTTCTTCCGTTAATTTACCGCATAAAATCAATAAAGTTTCATAACGTTGTTGTAATTCCATTGTAGGATCATTGTCATCAATTACATTGCCAATATTATGATTATGGTAATTATTTGTAGTAGGAGCAAAGGGATCTGATTGTGATAAAGTTCTATTTACATGGTTTGTATATTTTACACCTGCTAACTTTTCGTATTTCTCAGCTCGAGCTGTTTGTTTAGCAACTTCAGTTAATAACTTCTCTTGTGTGGCTGTTAATTGTTCAATTTCACGTTTCAAATGAGCACATTCACCTTCGCGCAAATGTAGATGAGACTATAAAACAGTAAAATTGTTTTAAATTAAATGAGAATAAAGAATCCATGTTTAATAAAATTTCTTTAAGTTTCATGATCATTAGAGATCCCGCGTATGGGGTCTTAGATGCCTAATCCCGAGGACATCTATGCTAGGACAAAATCGCCACCCAGCAGTTCTAGGTTTTCAATGGTGGTCTAATTTAGCTCGGTGCGTGGTTTCAATAGAACCCAACAAATAAAATAATATCAATGACGTACCACAACTGATTATTCATGAATACACGATGCGAATGAACCATATTATAATGACTCATCATAATAATTGAAATCTTTCAGAAAAAGCCTCAGTAGTAAAACTTATTCTTCATGTTGGAAGTTATCGATCAATGTCTGTGAAACTTCACCAAGTTCTATTGTCAGGACTATTCTTCTCCCCAATATAATTTAATTTTGTTACAGGTATGATCCTAAAGAAAATACTCCTTCTGACCTTAAGTGTAATAATCTACTACCTAGAGAATCGTCAGTAGGCTAAGAATACATACATGACATACTTCCGATTGATGAAGACACTGAGAAAATGTAGTATTCCGAGACTTTTGAGTGAAAATTTAAAAATGTTTTGGATGCATTTCTTTAACTATGAATAAAATATTTGCTTTAAAATTAGTCTCAAATAACGTCTATCCTGACCACTGACGGTGAAGTAGTTTAATAGGTTGACGACTTTAAAAGAGTATCAGTTCTCTAGTGATTGCGGATTCGCGCCTTGACAACAAATAACAACTCTCACAAAGCTTGGATCAAACGCATTTTGACAACCTAAGTATTTGATTCCAATTACTGTATATTATTAAGGTTAGTAAAACGATTACAGAGAATAAAAAAGTGGTTAAATGGTAAACATAAACCTCAAACACAGGCTAAGATTCCATATTATAATTACTTCGTACTTGAAAATATTCCATAGAAGCTTGATTGACCATATCAGACTGAAATTGAAATGTTTTTGGAATACTGGCTACTTCATTGTTGAATGGAGATTTTCTCTGAAAAACGGAAAAGGTAATCAAGAATTCAAACATACTGTTAATGCTTTGGTTGTCTTATAATAATTCGTATTGTAATAATAAACAACAAACTGAAAATCGATTCGTACATGATGAGCGCTTATTGTTCAGATATTTGGGAGTTTTCAAGAACTGATCATTCAATCGAATACACATTGTCAACAATATCACTGCAACTCTTTATAAGCCAGTCTATCAAAATTTAAGCTAAGGAGATTTCAGCACATTAATAATACAAATTATTAAACTTTATCGGTTATTTTTCAGCTACGATTAACATATATAATGAAGCCAAACCAATTTAAACTTTAGAAAACAGACCAGATGAAGGCTGCTTCTACTTAGTGAAAGTGATTGACAACTTAATCGTTTTACTATGCACAGTTTAATGTGCTAAGCTTTGAAGCAGACCGTTTCCATAAAAGCTAGCGATCTTAATTGGCTGTTCAGAAAAAAAAACAAATTGTAACAAGATGTGGATCTGAGAATAAGTGCTTTCATCGCTTATTCATTGCGCTTTAAATTGGTGTGTTTCAAAATGCTATAAAGCATACTCAGACAAGAACACAAACTTCAAATTACTGGTTTATATATAATCAAATTTTGTACGTAAATGAAAAATAGGAAAATCAACATTCAACACTATCTCTCAATGAATAATAAATAACTTGAAATTTTGTATGAATTAAGCGCTGATGATGTTGTCCAGAACAACAACGAAAGTTTCATAATTAAACAATCCAGTCAGTATGACATAATTTTTATGAATGAATCGATTATTTTCTCATATTATTTTACATTTATAGACGCTAAATCATTGCATGGATGTCATCGGTTAAAAAGACTTCCTAAAGAGATATAAAACATGTTTGTGCTATACATTCCCTCCAACTGACTTAATTCTGAGTGTTTGTAAGTTGTTTCTTTTTCCAAATTTGACCTGAATACTTTTTCTTACACATTACTTCTAACAGTTCATTAAACAACAAACCATTATTGAACATTGAATACTAGAATTGTAATAATAAAAATATTATGATACATCGTGACGAAATTATTACACTAAGTGTGAAAATGTAGAGATAAAAGAAAGAAATCAGTCATAAAAGAATTGAAACCATGATGTTAAAGATATGGTGAACTCTAAGCGAAAAATTGGTATGTTCGTATACAACTTAGATCAATATTATGTGTGGATTAGGCTATCCTTAGTTTTGTGATTATAAGTTATCTTTCACTAGAATGGTGCATTAAGTAACGCAAGGATCCAATCATAGAAAAATAACAAGTTGGAAAATCTATGATAGAATACGTTTAAACTACACGTGTGTTTTCTAACTTGGGACGTCATGTTTTATAGGGCAAACTACAGAGACATTTCATAATTAGAAACAATAACAATAATTCAAACTAATCAGGAAATTCATTAGGGATTAATAAATAACTTCCTTTCAACAAACAGACGACAGAGGTTCGATTACTGAACACATGTGACTTATTTTATAATGTACTAACTAAACAGGAGTTTCACAGATGAAATAACTTCTAGGCATATCTAACATAATTTCTTATACCCACTTACATAAAGAGTAATTTAAAAATATACCTAGTCAAATGTATAATCAGGCTAGAATAGTTAATTTTTTTCAAACTGAAATGTTGAAGAAGATATCTATAATAAAAATCTACTCACAATGATTGAATTCATGAAAACGAAGTATATACACAAACAGAAGTGGTTCAGTGAAGTTATATATGTAAAAAGTATAGATAAACTAGAATAATGATCTGCATTATATATATATATATATATATATATATATATATATATATATATATATATATATATAAACATACGTCAAGTGAATGTGAATTCAATGGTTGATCGATGACCTTATTTGCCACAAGTTGGTCTTTTGCCAATTTCATTTCTTCTAGTTGCAAGCATAAATTATTATTCACTGCTTCTAATGCTTTATAACGTTGCTCTTCAGATAACAATGTTTGTTGTAATTCACTTATACGAGAAAGAAATTCATTCATTTCAGATTTAGATGTTTCCAGTTTGACAGTTAATCTATAAAACATTCGAAAAATACAGTGGAAAAAAAGAAAGTTTATTGAATAATGACATTATACGATTACCTATATTTTATTTCGTAACTAAACTAAAATCGGGAATCAGTGAGATATTAAAACGTATAACCTGGGATATATGTGCATTGGTTGAAGTTGTCACATAATATTAATACGGTGAGACAAATGCCAAAGTAGTAAAAATGGTAACAATATCATGCATTAAGGTATTGTTTTAAATAAGACATCCAATATAAAGAAATACTGAAATAAATATGTGACTGTTTTGGGTGATGCACTTAAAATTAGCTACATCAATTTCGCACATGGTTTCCAGACTCCAACTAATCGATGACGCTTAAATAGTGCATAAATGAAGAGGTGAATAAACAACTGAAGATTTACTCTTTAAGGCACCATAATGTGATAAGAATCTTGCGTTACTTATGTGATTAGAAGCAAACTTGGAATTGTGTGAAATTCTATAAAGTACGCCAAAACTAATAGCAATTTCTGCGCTTAACAAAAACAATCATAACAGCTGTTTGGAATCAACAAGTAATCAATAAGGGTGTATACAAGCTAAATGTGTTCGAAAGTATTTTACGGTTCCTTTGTAGGGAAGAAAGATGAATTATTAGCGTATTCTAACAATGGCTTCTAATCATTTTAATGAATCAGTGAACAAATAACCGGTCACACGCATAGTACGACCTGGTACACTGATTGAAGTTGCCATAGCATAACAAGCACAGAGAAACATGGAAGTATCAATACAGATGAGAGAGTAGGAGAAACAGCCAAATTATCAACAACGGTGAAAAAACACTAGGCATATACAAACTCAAAATTTAAGGGATGTGACTGAGTGAATGCATCTGAGTCATTGTAATCGATTTCGAGTCAAATCACTGGTTAAGATAATCTTGCGGAAATGAACCAATGGTTGAAAACAGAGCGCTTAAATAAGTGAAACAGGAGTTCCGTACACATATATCGATATATCTTTGGATTATAGACAAATATGTTTAAAAGTCATATCCTCAATGACCAATTTCACTGAATATGATGAGACATTTGAAAGCTCTCAGCTTTCTTCCGTTAGCTGATATTTTAGGGATTTAAAATCAATGTAATTATTTCTACTACCTTGTAAGTTTTCCAACATTCATATGAAAAGTCGTAACTTTGAGAATAATTTACATCATAGTGTTTTTGGACCAGGGGGTTGTACAAAATAATAAGACATTGAATAGCATTCTCGTCCGGAGTTGAGAAACATCAGTCGTGTTCACCCATGACTCCGTCAAGGACAGAACTGAAGACCTACTGACCTAACGGTAAACATACATCCTTAAATCAATGAGTTGTAATTCATTGTTTTACGTTTCAAGCTTCAAATGACTGAACATGTTGGACGGTCACCATGTTTGATAACTGATTTATGTATGATTCACTTGGTATTGTTTTTACATGGATCTTTCCATTGATTTTTAGGCAATATCGAGGCAATACGCACAGTATGCACATATGCCAATAAGAGACTGATCAATTGCAGTCCTAAACATCAATGGGAAGATTCAAGTAAAAACAATATCAAGTGAATTAAAATTCACTCCATTGCACAAGCAAGTGGTTATCAGGACTCAGTAGCTAAGTGGATAACGCGTTGGCGTTTGAAGCGAGCAGTACTGGGTTCGAGTCCCAGAGTGAACACCAACTCTGATGCATGTACATCCAGCTGACGAGTCGCAAGTAGAACGGAACGCGCGTCCTGGATTCCACAGCTAGCCACTATCCATCTTTGCTTATAATGATTTATACATGAACTTTATGTGTTAGATGAAACTTTTGTTAAATGTTTAATACGCTTTCGATTTTCTTAAACTTATTCATTCCTTTATCTAGTGTTAATTTATTTATCCTCATTTAATTTAAAAGACGGTAATAAATTCGACATTTTTGATTGTTTAAATTTGGGAAAAATACAGCAAACCATTACGTAATTGAAAATCGTTTTGAAAAAAAAAACCATATACCTACTCTTGTAAATCGAACATGCTACCCTGTGATTTTTCTTGTTCTGCTGTAAATATTTTCTGCAAATCAACATATTTCTGCTTTAAGGAATTCAATTCTAATCTAGCCACTGCTAAATTATCCTCTGCTATTTGAAGCTGACTTCGCCATGATTCTTCAGACGTTTGAGCATTATCGGCTGTAAGTTTATATTCAGCTAAACATGAGAAAAAATTGAAACAAACCCATAAATAATATTCGATGATAGATTTTATTGCACATGTTAGTGTAAATCTTAGGACACTGTATCTTGATGTGCAGAGACATAAAAAAGGAAGTTAGCTTGAAAAAGAAAATCTTACTTGAATGCAGTGAATTTTAATATCAAGTATAACTTTTTAGACACTTTTTTTTTACCACGGATTATGACCTGATGAATAATAGACAGACGGTTCGAGGTGTGAAAATGAATCATTACAATACTGCTCAATTGATCATATACAATGATAAAATATGATTCAATGATACACCATCATGAGATCAAAAATTGAATCAATCCTCCGAACGGACTGAAATAAAAGACGAGATTAAGAGCCAGAAGAATACGTTTTTATCTAGTGGAATAACCAAAGGGTCTGAAAGGTGAATTCATGCTTCGAGATCTGAAGATCCTGTTTTCGACTCCTGTTGAGGAGTATTACTAAATTGAAACAGCTGTCCGGTACTTTTAGATTTTCAACGATCGTCTAATTAATATCATTCTGTGATCCAAACCATACAATTCAACAGTCTCCACCAAACGCCAATAATATTATATCAGTTTTGTAAGTCACTACTAGAAATTCACCAAACAAATTTAATTTTTGCTCAGAATATCACTCTTCCTGCTTTTAATAAATAACGAACATAACAAAATTCATTCTATGGATCACTCACAAAAAATAGAGCATATAATGAAAAAAGTTACCTCTGAAAAGATAGAGCCTAATACAATTCGTTCATAATGGATATTTGAATATCGTGTTCAAGTTTTTAAATGAAAGTGATCATCTATTTCTTACAATTAAGTAAAGCTTACAACAATGTAAGTGCAAAATCCAATAGATTCAAGATAGTTAAAATGTATCCTTAACAAATTGCTAGTAAGGTTTTACAGTTACCATAGATTCGTATTTGATATTAAAATTGGACTTGCAGGAAACGAAATAGAGTAAAAATGGTTATCATACTTTTTAAAAGAAACAATAGAATTACGACAGTTTTGAGACGATGACCACTAAATATTAATCACTGTGTTGTCATTTTGTCTAATTTATGTAATACGGTCATCAAATTAGGTAGCTGGCGATAATTGTGAACTGCATACTTTTGAAAAATAATAATAGGTATAAAATCAAACTTAATTAGTATCAGTACTCACTAGCAAGGTTCATTTTAAAAAACCACCTATCATAAATATAAATTTCTTCACACATTTTAATCCAAACAACTAAACAAAGGTTTTGAAAAGATATTGCAGTGAACGGAGACTCAGATACGGTATACCAATTTATTCTTTTATGCAAAATCGCAATGCCAGTGCCTTTGTAAAATATAAAACTCATACATTGAATACACCATTTGTACATTTTCCTTGAGTTGTCCTTTACATACTCCATCATTCTTCCAATTCTGTTGTTATACCGACTTCTCACTATTTTCCTTCCTCTTTTCTTTATTTCAATCTTCTGTTGAGAAGCATTCTACGTTCGATTCCTCTCACATACTACTTACATAGGTCCGCATAAGTAGCGCACACCATAATATTTGCAGCAAATACCCTTCTTTAAACGATAAACTGAATAAAGTAAATAAATCGAGTTGAATGATCAATTACTAATGCTGATCGAACTGCCCAATAATGATAACGTATTCAAATATGACAGATGAAGGTAGCTTCTTAACAAACAAATGTCAAAAAATGAGACCTAGATCAGCAGCTGCACAAAACGTAAAAATTTGAAACACGACACAGTAATCAAGTATAAGATTCTACGAAATCAACTTCGAGCTACAATTTTAGAGTAAGAATTAGTAATACAATCAGGTTACCTAAAATGAAGTAGATGGAATGACGTAAGGACGTCAGTAATAGTTTTAAAATTAAGTCCCTTGATCCAGGTTCAACAGGTCATGTTACTTCTTGTTAAGGACACTAAAATTTAGCTAATTTTCGTTGATAAATGTTAGTTTTCTTTCCTTTAACAATAACTACAAGCATGATTTTTCTAATTCGTATTTCCTCATGAACTTCAAAATTTCCTGATTAGCTAATATGACTCAATCATTAAATTTTTGCTTTCAGGTAATAACATCTAGTGACACTACACTAAATTTCGTTTTTCATAAAATAATCTTCGTACTTCGTAAATATCAATCAATGTAGGCCGAACCAAACAAAATTTCAACATGCAACACTAGTGTTAATATTAAAACGTTCGAGCACAGAAAATAAACAATTTTAAAGGAATATGTGAAGATTGGTTCACAAATTTTATTCACCATAGATTAATCTAAACTAGGGTGACATTGAGAATTATGGAGCACTAGACATCTGTTTCATCCTAGGATAAGACTCCTCGACAGTGCACACCAATGAACCTCATCAAAGATTGAAAATCGAACCTTCAGCTTTGAAAAGAAGCGAACGGTTCATCATTAGAACCACAGGGTGGGCATATAGTTTAAATCTCGTTCACTTATGAAGAAAATTATAAATACAAAAAAATACTCAAATGTATTAAAATAACAAATCTATTTTGAAATGTTTCTCAAACTGAAACACTCACCTAATAATTTATTCAATTGTTTTTCTTTTGTTTCCCATTCAAATGCTTGATTATTGAAATTAGATTGAAGAATTTCTAATTGTTTCATGATTGGTTGCGTTGCAGTAGTAGTTGTTTCATTCAATAGATCAATTTTCAACTGGGCATCAGACAATAAACCCTAATACGATATATATATATATATGAGAGAGAGAGAGAGAGAGTAAACAGTTTATTGATGCTATTAGTTTAAAAAATGGCTGAAATATCCAAAACAGTTATATTCATTCGAATTTGTTATATCCGAACGAAGAATAAATGGGTAGTAACTGTCATGAATTATTTATGGATGGTTTTTACATAAATAATTATTCGGTGGCTAGATTATATATCTATATGAATAAGTATTTGAGCATTTTGTTCGGTAGCCCAGTGTATTTTCTCGCTCAATTAGTCAGTAGGGAGGTTAGCGCGTAGCATACTGTGTATCAGTATCAAATTTCAGATGTTACACGTCATAACAATGCGTTAACTCATTAATGGAATCAGTCAGCTAAATGTACCTGCACAGAAGATTCGATGGTCAATCCAAGACCTGATTCCAGTAACATCTGATTCAAATGTCAACGCATTACAAACTTACGTACCGAGTATTCTAGTTCGATTACCGTGTTGAGATCAGCTCAGTATGTAGCTCCAAGGTAAATTGTGTATATTAAAGACGTATGTGACTAATTATGAAGATCAAACTTTTTCATTCTACAGCACACGCTGTGAATATTGCCTACTCACTAGTGCGCATTCACAATCTTAAATACAGGAAATCAAGAATGAGACCTTCATTCAGGCTCGTGAATGCTTAATTTCTAAGCCACCATCCAACGTAGGAGCAGGCGCATATATGCATCGGTTCAAGTTGTCACACCTTATTAGCACAATAAGATGAACACCGAATTCATAGTAGTTACTTCAATGGTAGTAATATATAAAAGAAAAATTGAGTACGAGGACATGATACAGAGAGAAAGATTCACTTCATAGAAAGAACAGTATAAAGCAATTTTAAACTCGCGGTTTTAAGTAAGACAAATAGTGTATACACCTGCACCATTGTGATCGATTCTGAGCCATGTCACACAGAGTCTCCAACTATTGGTTACGATAGTCACGCGTACCCCAACCAAGTAGTCTGCATCTATCAACATGCTTCAGACCAGGAGTTGGTGACTACATGGACTGACGCCACATTTTGTTTTGGCCGCCCCTAACTTTCTTCCAACCATCCCCAACACTAGTCAGAATTGCGCGTCGTGGTAATCGGTGTTCAGGCATACTCAACACGTGGACCAACCATCTCAGTCGATGAAGATTCACAACCTCATAAACTGATTTGCCATCATTCCCTAATACCCTGCGTCTAACCTCACTATTACTTACCCGGTGATCCCAGCAGACTCCAGCAATATTTCTGAGGCATATGTGGTCAAATACTTGTAGCTTACGAGTATCTTCAACGCTTAATGATCATGTTTCGCAGCCTTGAAGTAAAACAGAACGAACTGTCGTGCAGTATACTCATCCTTTTATTGATAGACGGATATCTCGCCTTCGCCAAAGGTGACGCAAGTTGGCAAAAGCCAAACGAGCTTTCTGAGTCTCTCCAGAGATTTCGCCAGACACCAACCAATTAGGGATGATCAGACTTCCAAGACAAGTGAAGTTGTCGACTTGTTCGACTACTTCACTCTTTATCCTTAATTCAGGTGTTGACGTAGACCAGTTCTGAAGCAACAACTTGCATTTAGATGAGTAGGAATGCATTCCAAACATCCTGGCATTCTTGCTCAGTACTACCAAAAGACTGCATTTCATCAACGTCTTCACCAAAGAGGAAAATGTCATCTGCGTATTCAAAGTCGATAATTGGACCTCCTGGTAAGAGATCAGTTCCTGATAATCCAGTCGGCGAGAAAGTTATCTCCATCAGTATGTCTATGATGAAGTTCAACAAAAATTGAAATAGTGGACAGTCTTGTCAGACATCACTAGAGGTTGTAAAATCAGATGACAGTTAGCCATAATCTCTGACTCGACTGGTTGTTATCGAGTAAAGAGCCTTCACATGGTTTATGTACTTCTGAGCTACACCTTTCAATGACAGACACTGCCACAGAAACTCTCGGTCAATAGAGTCGAATGTTGCTTTTAAGTAAAGACCACCATTGTCAGACGCCGATAAGCATGCCTGCGTTCTGAAATCTGACGAATGGTGAATATGTAGTCGATACAGCCACGACCAGTTCTGAAGCCAGCTCGATAATCATCGTGTTCAGAGCATGATGTGATGAGTTTACAAGAACCTATCAGTGCAACAGACCTTGAAGAAATCCATTGGTTTTTTGTAACCTCATCGTTTAAACCACTAATAGATGTCACTGCTGTTTCCACAACTGATTATATAGCTTTCCAAGCAACATCTGGGTCAGCCTCGTTTTCAGAACTGCCTAAGTGTGGCCTCAGTTGTTTCTGGAATCTATTTTGGCTGTTCGTCACTGAGTCCAACTCTAATGGATCTTCTTAATGTGGTTTTTCTACGTCCAGCGAGGCCTAAGCGAATGAGTGCTCATATCAGAGCATGTTCGGAGTCCAAAGAGGTATTGCAGAAAGGGCGACCGTTTTCGGTTGAGCCCCTCCAACAATGACTGATGGCAATAAGGTTTATTTGAATCCATCGTTGGTTTGGTGAAGGGGGTCGTCATGTTAGACGATGTCTCTTCTTATTCGTAAAATTAGTGTTTGCTAAAATAAACGATCGTCTGGGCACAGTTGCAGCAGACGATCACCATTATCTGTTCGCTGTGCCAGAATGCTAAAATACCCACATAAATGTCTTTCTGTTTGGTTTAAGCTACCTACTTGGACATTAAAGTCACCTCCTACGAGTACTATGTCTGAACGTCTAGCTTTTCGAAGAATTCCAGAGAGCTTTCTGTAAAAGTCATCTTTCACTTCATCCGAGCTGCAGTCAGTGGGAACGTAGGCAGAAACAACGTATGTCTCTATCCTCCCGAATTCTTATGGAGACGTTCCGCTGAACAACATACAGACGACTGTTGACGGGGATCCATTCTAATGGTGATTGTTCTGCCCTCGTACTCAGTGCTATGTCTACACCCGCCAGTCCACGAGAACTAACCATCGGGTCGCCAGATAAACGGAGGGTGTATCTCGTCGGCTCCCCGTTTTGGCGAGGTGAGGTCAAGTGAATGACCACACTAGGATACTGTATGTGTGTTTCGGAGACACAGTATACATCAATGGTATGACACTCTAGGGTTTCGGCCAAAGAGGGTGCGTACATTGAAGGCTTCAATGTGTAGTTTCGAGCGAGGTTTCAGTAGACCTGGGGCAACGTTTCGCGCACTAGGATCGTTGGCCATGGTGACACTTGAAAAGAAAGTTTAGAGTTGAAAGTCGAGGTAGGAGGAATAATAGAAAATGAGGAGGGAGACTGATTATGAACACAGTGATCTCGAGTGCTGTTAGAAGTATGAGGGTGGTTATCACTTCCCGGTTGCCCACACCGTGGAAGGGTTCTTCTGGAGGTGCCTGAAAACGAAATACGGTCAGGGGTGGGTCTTAGTGACCTGAGAACGTTACCTCAGTACCCGAGTGACAACTGCTCGAGGTGGGTCAGACACGAGCTTTTTGCGAGTAATTTTTGTGTTAGCTCTGTACTTGTTGGGACCCTCATCACCGGAGACGGGAATTCGTGAGATAAGACGAAGTGTGGATTTCTAGGGTCGAGCCTTTCTAGTCCCGCTCTTTCTTTGTTAGAAGGCAGCATCGCTGTTATGCTGGTTATCTGAAGGAAACACCTTACTGCTGTCACACCTCTCTACAGTCAGCAGTACGATTTCGCCTTGGGTCTGCTGCTTTTAGTCTTACGGCTCGTCAACCGACCTATCTGGTATGGTAGGACCTTGAGAAACGATTATTTCAGCCAGTATAGCTCGATTGGTTCATTACGGTAGGAAAGCCCGATCACCATTTCAAGGTAGTAGCAACTGAAGATTATTACATTATTATTATACTGTTTATTGACTTTGATAATCTAAACGGAATGTAGACAGTAACCAATTAATCAGAGGCCTAGTTTAATTCCAATGATTGCATTTGTTAGTGGTTTTTGTTATATATGTAATCTACAAGAACCCAACATTACATAGCGTATTCAATCGAAGTAACTGAATGTCTATGTTATGTCTTTTCACTAGACGATCGATACGCTTTGTGAACAGAATCACATGTAGGAATGTTTCATCACACGCCTAACAAAATAATAGCATGTTCTTGAGACCCTATATTCAAATGAAACCGATAAATTGTTAATGTTAAAATAAGAACCGAAAGTTAACCTGATAATACTGAATTTCTTCTCTCCATTTGATCGCTTGTTCTTCATGTTGTGTTTTAAATGCTCGAAATCTCTTGAATTGCTGTTCAGTTTCTTTTAGGTTTCACATTCAGCCTTTACTTTTCTAAATCTTCGACACATTGACTTTCAGCTTGTGAATGACAGTGAATTTGATTCAACTGTTCTTCAACTCTGAATTTTCACTAAAACAAAAGATAAACATTGAGAAAAAATAACCATATCAAAATTAATCCAAGTTAAAATAGTACAAAGGAACAACACAAGAATATTAATGTGCGATCATAACATCCTTGCGTTATTCCATCGTACTATTTAAACATGTATTAATTTTGATTTGGTTATTTATTCTCTGAAGAAGTGATTTACACTGAATCACAAAATGTCAGAAAATTTAATTTTTCTACTCATTGGGATATCACAAATATATTAATTTTATTATAATAATCTACCCACTGCTCAATTTATTTGAAATTATCAAGTCAAACTTTGATAATGATACCTACAATATGATATCGAGTTTATATCTCTCAGTGTAACATAATTTCAAGTCAGTGTGTAACGTATCAATTAAGTGTTAGCTTTAATCAGAATGATATGTGTAAACTTTACGTCCAGTATGACAATTATATTCTTGTTATTATCTTATATGAACTTCGTGTACGTTCGACAGTAAACTTTTTCATTTATATAATGTTTATTAATTAACGACCAAGTGTGTATAAGATCAGTATATAAATGAATGTAATTGGTTCGACATCGTTGTTTTTTTAAGTTAGTAAATCTTTTTATCTCAATCTTTGAGTCTTCACTTCGCATTGTGGTAATCACACTAGTTCTCATATCCAAGTGTAAGTAATAGGATAGCGGACATTACAAAAAAGTATTCATCATATCATTAGAATCCAACTCAACAATATAAGTAATCTAAATAGCAACTGACTTTTACATCCGAATCATTATTATTAGTAGTATTGATAATGTTATACATAGAAAAATATATACTAAGAAATTGAAAAGTGAAATATATTTCCGTGAGGATTGATTACCTTAAGAATTTCCTGTTGTTCTTCCAAATTATTTATCACTTTCGTTTGTCTAGTAGAATTGGCTGATTTAAAAAAAGGTCGAATGAAGGAAAAAACATGAGTCAATAACTAATTTGTGAAATGACAGTGTTTACCCGTAAATTGATTTAAGAAAGTAACTATTGTTTGAAATGCTACTCGGTATACGTAATAATAGCAACCATAATGGAATAGAACACAGTTTTCATACATTTATCTTTGAATAGCTTAAACAACATATAGTATCAGGTATAATAGCATACTAGTCATACAAATTAGTGACAAAAAATACGTGGGTCTTATCTCGTTAAGGTAACGGTAGGAACCAAGGTGCACTGGCGAACTTAATCGGCCTACCAACATACTCGTTTAAGTGAAACCTGAAGGTCCTAGATTCAACCCAAGAGTGGAATCATGGGTTCGTGCTGCTGAAAAGTCATGGAGTCGGACAGGACAGCTATCCATTACTGCTAGACTATTGATAATATCCCAAATGACATTAATCTGTGTAGAATATAACCTAAAAACAGAACCAATTTGAGTGAAACCCCTTCAACAATACATTCGACGCCTAAGAGTTTGTGATTCAATTGCAATGATCAAGTATGAAGTACATCTTCATTCAAAAATAGCATTGACAATTATTAGAAAAATCAATTAATAGATAGATTTATAATTACTTAGTTGAATACCAAGTATCTCTTCCTTATTTTCTAAACTGCTTCGCAGCCGTTGAACTTCAACAGTTAATTGTTCAATTTGTTTCCTAGAACAAAAAAACACCAGTCAAATAACAAGGATAAATAAAATGTAGGAGTCAAAGACAAAAAATTATAATGATTCAATTATGATATTAAAGTACATAACAATTATACAAGTAATACACAAACAGGAATGTCTACAACACTTTTTTTTCACTCTTTTATTTATGTATTAAGCGCTAGTCGGATATCTTCAGCATCTAAAAACATTGTATTATAATGTCTATTTTACAGCTGCCTATTGAATGTGTTTATAAAACAGAATTGTTAGGTAAATTAGAGTTAGAACAAAACAAATTATAAAGTTTTCAATTTTCGAAGGTCTAGAGACTAGCTTAAAATTTAATATGTAGGTAATTAATTGCCATAATCCATTCGAGTAAACTTTATATAATATCAAATCTACAATGATTTCATAAAGAGCTTCAAAGAAAGAAAGTTGAAGGAACTTTCAAAGGAGACTTGTAGAATAGATGTAGAGTGAGGCTAACAGTTGAATGTAAGACGAGCATTACATCCCGATTGGGACTCATCAGCTGGATAGTACATCCTGAAGCGAAAATAACATTATAAATTGAATGAATAACTTGCTGAGAACAAGAAATAAATAATGACAAGGGAAAAATAGTAAAGAAATTTGACTATGAATAGTGATTTATTAGTTTACTTCATCAGAATTATACTAGACAGTAAGAGAAAGAATACAAATGGACACATTAACAAGTTTTCTTTATTTATAGAATACATATAGAGTGATAAAGACTGTAGAAGTATTAAATACACAATTCAACTTACAAATGTGATGCTTCTGTCTGCTTGCTTTTTTTCTGTTCTGAACGAAGCTTTTTTAATAGATTATTTGTCTTCAACTGATCAGCAGATAATTTATGACCTTCTTTTAATAAATTCTCAATTTCTTCATTTTTCTGCAAAATTACATTCTCTAATTCATTTACACGTTTTCTGTCATAATATTTAGGGAAAGAAAAGACGTAAACAATAAAATAATCAGTCAGTCACAAACAATGTAGAACCTAGCAAATATGTGCATCGGTTCAACTTGTTATATCATATTAGTGCATCCAGATGAAATTATCATGATGAATACCATGTTATTAGTATTGTGGTGTGTGCTACCTATACGGACAGATATAAGTAGTATGTATCAGGCATGGGAAGTAGACGTGAGAAAACTGAAAGCAATCAGAAAAAAACAACAAGAATTGAGGAACAATGAAGTTTGTGAGACAATCCAAAGAAGATGTGCAAATGGTGTATTTAATGTATGATTTTCATATTTTACTAAGCCATGGTGTGACTTTGCATTAAACAATAAATCGGTTATCCCCATCAAATCTTCGTTCACTACAGTATCAACAATAACGAAACAGATTAGGCGTAGAATGAATTCGTGAAATAAAAAGTACAAAATGATGTCGAAACTCGGGATCTAATTGTGGACAAAGAATGGATGTATATGCACCATTGCAACTGAATTTGAGACATATCACGAAAAGTATTCAACTACTGGTCATGGTGGTCGCCAGAACACCAACCAGATAGTTTACATCTACCAATATAGCCCAGTACAACAGTTAGTGACCTAATGGACTGGCACGACATTTTGGTTTGGTCATCCCTAGCTTTCTTCCAACCTACTCACCTTCAAATCAATATCGCGCGTCGATGTAGGCGATGGTTGGCAACACATGATAATCAACGATTGACAGAATTTTTTCTAAAAATCACTTAATTTGAAAAAAAGATTTCCTTTCAGAAATCTAATTAGCATGAACACCACTGTATAAAATCTAGATAAAGCCACCTTGATGAATAATAACCAACCCTCTACAATGTATGCATCTAAAATCTATCAATTACATAGGTTTGAGCAGACTAGTAGTATAAATAGCCCTCTTACATGAGGTAAGGTACACAGACGAATATAATAGATCAGTACACTTGGTAGATGAGTTACTTCATCATATTCCTCTAAAAAAGTACTAGACAAAATGGAAGCCTATAATTGACGAATAAGTTATATTAAATTCAACAGTCGCGCACCATTTCAATGTCCAAATTACTAAGTTTTACCACACCAAGTAAGAATTTAATAGGACGAAACCAATTTATTATAGAACCATTCAATAAATTGATTACACTTGGATGATAAACTTACATTTCAATTAAAGAATAATTTTGACTGATATATGCGATTAGTTTTATAGTTAGGTTCAGAGTAAAATAAACACGTAATGTGGTTAAGTATCTGTTTAAGTCAATTTGTTCATATAATGGTAGAAACTTATACTTATAAATGAGCAACAAGTGCTTAACGACAATTATGTTTGATATAGTTTTTTTGATGAATAGATAAAATAGATAGCGAACTCCATATGTAGAAAATAGAGTATCTGAAGGTTATGATGCTACGCCAAATTTATTTCGCTCGCAAGACATCCCGTTACCAAAATTATAGAACAGTGTATGGAAGTTGCATGTGTATGTGAAGTGTATAAAATGTAGTATGCTTATTGCGCAACAGCAATAAGTATTAGATAGAAGCTTTAAAATGCTGAATCAGTGATTTAAAAAATTAACAGAATGATTGAAAACTGTATTTCTATGCTTTTGATTTAAGTTGGAGAATCACTAGCAGTAGAATACAAGACTCGTGTTTTGTCGTATTTAGGAATAACCAGTTGGATATACCCACCACATCCCAGTGTTGATGTTCAAACTGAGAATAGAACGCAGTATCTTTCTCTTTAAAGTTACCATGCTCATACTAGAACAACGGGAGGAAAGTACCTATACGTTGAAATTAACATCATGAAAATAAAGAAAAATGTATGCATGATGATAAAACGCTGAAACATTATAATAAAAGTAACTTACATATCATTATTTACAAAAGGTTTATCATCACCTACAGCACGTGTGATCACCGGAATTTTTTGTTTCACTGACGATAAACTTTTTTTCAATTGGTCTCGTTCACGACAAACAACCTGTAACCGTTTCTCTGTATCTGATAAACGTTGAGAAAACTCTGAGGTAATACTGGACACATCAGTAGTGACAATTTCTTGTGCGGTCAGTGTAGTTTTTAATTGCCTACAAAATAATAATAATAATAATAATAATAATGTTAAAACACTAGAAGATGTAAACAAAAGTTAACAGAAAGGAAGACACTGATAAGTAAAACTTCGATGCTGTAGAAGGATGTACCATAACATTGAAATTAACATATCATGATAAAGATGCTCCAACATATATAAAGCCAATTATCGATGTAAGTATAACATTTAAAAGATAAGACGAAACAATACAACCGTTCGTATAAAAATGCATTATCAAGACCGTTTCAATAAATAGAAACAAAGCGTTGAGGGGAAAGGGAATTCAAAAGTGTATACCACTAGATTATCACTCATTGTTCTAAAATGCTGTGATCTATTCAATATCTGGATGTCTTCGTCCCTATTCTCCATAAGGTTTGAGGTTCACTCGATTAAAGGGTCCCAAACCAGAGAGAAACAGGTTCCTGGTGTTTATTGCTTTCTAGTGCTTCTTTAACTTTTATTTCAAAATGAAAATATCTTCGCATTATACCAAATCTCTCAAAATCCGGACAGCTTCGATCAACCCGATGAAGCCTTCAGAGGTCCTCTGAGTTAATAGCTCATCTCCTAACCCACCCGGTTTAGTGCTGATCTGGAGCTCATTGGAACTGGATTAATTATCCTGACATAAATGATGTAATCATCTGATCTTGAGAAGCTAAAAGTAGGCTCTGCTGCCATTGAAGTAACAATTTCATTTCCTCCATAAAAGTGCACATACTGATCTTTATGCGGACAGATTGTCTTGTAATACCAACCTCCACATGACCAGCATGGAGATGATTGATGATAAAAAAATAAAACGTTTAAAAATAATATAAACCCGAAAAAAACCACCTAATAAAAATAGATCATTTATAAAACATTAGTTTTGTAGAAACAATCACATGTTAAGAGATTTTCGAAAAATTAAACTGGATAACGAGAAAACATATATTTCTATTACATACTCTTGCAATATTGAGACTGAATTCTGTAGTACGTTGTTCTCATGGCTAAGTTGCATAATTTTTGCTTCACGAACATTTAGTAAATGTTTGACTTCGGAGAACTTCTGAAGCAACAAAAATAAACAGCATTGAAAAATATTAAACAATAAATTGTATGGAATATTTCTATGTGAATCGTTCAAGTTCGAGATATGCGTGAACTAATAAAAGTTTTCAAAGATACCTAGCTAGATTAGTCGAGTCAAATAAAACTACTTACGAATCGATTAAAGTTACGATTATAAACTACTGAATGTATACTCTGTGGTCTAGAGGTTAATCGCTCGCAGAGAGACACGAAAGCTTTGGGATCGATCACCGGTAGGGATCACGGATGAGCACTGCTAAGGAGTCATATACCTGAACAGAACAGCTATCTAGTGCTTCTCGGTTTTTAATGGCTGACGAACAAAGGTTAGTCTATAGTATAAACTATGAAGTAGTTATAAGTATGTATCCATGAGTAATTCACCTCCTAACAGAAACAACCACTGAGTTGAACGGAATTGGAATTAAATTATCTAACACTGAGGAAATAAACTCTAAAACATGCTAAAACTTGCTAGAAATCACATTATGCTGCTAAAATTGTTATTGTATTTATTTGGTGTGATATCCAAATTTATAGTAGTATCTTCTTTTCATGAATCTAAAAGCACTATCAGCCAATACTCTAACCCGCTCTTCACGTCATAGTATTGGAATTTATTCCAGTCCATAAATTCTATGTAACGTCAAATTAGTAAAGCAGTAAGTTGGGAATTAAATGAATCCTGATATCGGCATACAACTTTATAATTAATATTGGGAAGAGAAAGCTCAGAAAGTCCGGAACTTAGAGAAGCAATAATCTACTCTAAAGATTTTACCTACGGAGTTCTTATAGAATAGTTCAAGTTAGACTATGCATAAATGACGATCAACTAGGATTAAGCTTTCTGATGTCAAAATCAATATTACGTTTGTGCCTAAAATGTTATAAAAGATAAGTTTCATCAACACAATCAAGATAATAACAATAACTAGGTCCTTTGAGTTGCTCATTTTCACTCCATTAAACTTGATCACATACTTCTAGAACCTCGAAAATTACCATCATAAATCTGTACATCAAAAAAATTTCCAGATTCACACTGGACTTTCCTAACAATCCTTTACTCTGTGAGAATGCATTACTACTAAAAATCCTGGTTATTCTTAGGAATTTTCTTACCAATCCCACATCCAGTACAGTTAGCAATCACTATGATTTCTTCAACATCTGAAATTGACTACGTTTGCTTTTAGCTGCTCTCCAGCCAATCTACCTGACACCATAAACAATTAAGAAATGGACATTTCACCTAACATAGCTGCTACCCTAATATGTTGAGTGTTGGATGCCTAAAACACTGTACCGTTACTAAATTATTGATCATGAACATCATATAGTATCATTTTACGTGCTTGAAAAATTAAACACAAAAACGGTCATAGCCTAAATTATCATAAAAACTAGGAACTGTTTTTGTTAGGAGGTAGGTATATTCTCTAGAGGATTTCAAATCCATATTGAACAAAAATCAGTATCCATATGTTTAAAGAATAGTAAATCTTTGAAAAAAAACTTTAGAATAATACTAATCTCACTAACCTTAGCGAGGTCATGATAGGCAAATGTCAAGTCATCGTCAATAGTATTTTGCAAACCTTTACAATGAAAACAAAAACAAACAAACTTATTTTTGTCGCCGAACATGTAGTTTAAGTTTATGAACTCGGAATTATCGGCACAAAGCTTTACTATTTCAATTTCATTTTAAACAATATGTTTTTCAGTACAACTGTTACTTGAATAAGAAACAGGTAACTGTTCAAGTTTTTTAGAAACCAGATGAATAAGTTTTTATTATTTTTATCCTGAACCATTCATCATAGAAAATAATCTTAATACTTTTTGACAAAGGTAAGATCAAAGAACAGTTGTTCATGAGTTCGACAGGGAATTGTTAAGTATGTAGACACCATTGACATACAGTTTACTGATCTGAACATTGATTGAGATGAGAATTTCCATTTTCTATTTCGACTTTTTAAATAGATAAATAGCGAATTGGTCTGTCAAAAATCTAATTTGGTTAGACCAATCAGTCAGTCATAAGCTATGTAAAACCTGACACATGTGCATCAATTCAAGTTGCCACACCAAATTAGCACGTCGAGATAAAATTATCAAGGCAAATCCCGAAATAACAGAAGTAGTAACACCGTCAGTAATAGTAGGGAAATTGTGTATGCTTTTTATGTCTCTCGACATAAGTAGTATGTAACGCCAATCAAAAGTTGAATGGCTGGAAGCAGATAGCTAAGAAGACCGGATTGAAGAAAGCAGAAAGGAATTGAGAAGTGGAAGAATCATGAAGTATATAAAGGATAATTGATGGAAGATTTGTAAATGAAGTATTTAACGTATTTCTTTACAATCAGTTTTTCATCATGGCTCCACACTAATATATATATATATATATATATATATATATATATATATATATATATATATATATATATATATATGAGCAGAGCTTTGAAGAAACTTATGATAGAATACTAGTAGCCTACAAATATTTATTCTTAGTGGTTATGTTTTACACCCATAAAAAAGGGTGAACTGATGAATAGTAAACTTTTCTAGAGTCGGCAAACGTACATCTCACCTATGCTACAAATGACGCAAGTTAGCAAAAGTCACTCACACTTTCTGAATCCCTTACGAGATTTCGCCAGACACTAACACATCAGGGTTCGTGAGACTAACATACGTTAAGTGGTCGATCCCTTCAACTACTTTAATCCCTATCGTTAATTCAAGTGTTGATGTAGGTAGGTCCAGAAGCAATATTTTCAGTTGAAAGGAAAAAATAACATCACAAGCATACTTGCACTGTTCTTCGTGGTGATCGTTAGAATCCGTATTTTGTTATCATCTTTACCAAACAAAACTATCATTTGACAAATTGCTAAACAGTTAGACGATGAGGACGTTGCAACTGTAAGAACGTCTATGACAAAGTCGAACGAAAACGGAGAAAATGGAGAACCCTAATGGACACCACTTGAGGTAAGCAATTCTAATGACAGCTCACTGTGAGCTTCATTAGTCCAATAAATAATCGAACTCAGTTATGAATATACGAACGTGTGCAAACGAATAAGAATTATAATATGATAAGCCCAGGACTGCGGAATTACACTTTATCCAAACATTTGTTATTTGTATAAAACAGATTTAGCTTAATATTTTATAGATCGTTCATTGAAATTGGTCCCCATTTTATATGATCATATAAAATCTGTGGGACTATATAAACCCACATTTTATGCTTGTTGGGACTCGTCAAAATACATAACTACACAATTAAGGAGTGCATTGAAATCCTTCCTCAGTGCTCTAATATGTACCACCCAAATACTCCGCAGTCAAGGGCATTAGCATAATTAGGAAATCTCGAACCAGATTTCGATAGTGTTAAAAGACACTTTTGAAACATCGCCATGATTTAAAACAAATTTATGCGCATTAGATTACTCAACTCATTAGACAAAGAAGCTACTATATTATGGTGTCTTTTCCACTCAGTTTCCCTAGACAAGTGTGATGAATAACAAGAAATCAATATTTGACACAATCTAAGATTGGATATGTTTAGGCTTTACTCTATGCCACCTAATTCAGTGAAAATGATTTATTTCTCAAGTGATAAAAAGTTTTTAAAACAGGTTAAGAATTTAAGTAGAATAAACGGTGTATTTCACTTATCACTAATAGCAATTTTACGTATAAGCAACAAACCGTGTACAGATAAAATACCTGCCCTAAGAAATAAATGTATGTGAGTTTTAAATGTTGTTGGGAGTATAAGGGTGGTTTCCCCTTCCCGGTTGGTCACACCGTGGAAGTACATATCTTAAGGGAATTGAAACAGAAACTGGATTAGGTGTAACACTGCCGACTTGGAAGAGTAATCAGTGCCTAAAAGACAGCTCCTCGGGGCCTTTTCTTGGATAGCCTTAGATAATGTCACCTCAATCACTTTAAGACCTTGATGATGGACGTCCTTGGAGTAAGGACATGCGTGTTATTTTGGTCCAAACTTCCCTAACTCCTCGTCCATTCGTGAGAATGCAACACTGATGCAGATACTGGTTGTTTGAGGAGAACTCCATGCTGCAGTACGAATTTGACCACGGACTATGAGCCTGTTATTTTCAGTTTTACTGCCTTCCAACCAACCTGCCTTGTACAACAGAACCTAAAGGAACACGTTCCCCAACGAATTTTGCCAACATATTTCTACTGAGTTATTACGATATGGAAGCACGACCATCAGTACATGAAGGTAACAGCTACGGCTGGAGGAAAATACATATGAAGCTAAACAATTGATCTATAAATATGTTTCAGATGAATTAAGGACTTTAAAAATATTTTTAGACTGAAGTGGTCTTTCGAAATGAAACGAACTTTTCTTCAACAGTATTAAATAGATTTTAATCAAAAATAATATGAACAAAATATTCATTACCATTGAGCTTACCCATACATAAATCTTGCGAAACACTAACAGATCTACGATGTTCAGGACCACTAGAACTAAGAAAGTGGAGTAACGAGAAGTTAAAGAAAACAATAAAACTAAAATATGAAGGTCTATGATGACATAGTATTTGGTGGAAAAAAATAGACATGTTGAAAGATGAAACTTTCCCCAAAGTCAGACTTCTTCCAAATATAACGCTGCATACAAATTGACAGCTTGTTATGCATAAACGTTTTCACATCTTGAAATTGTATCTACTTATCATAGAAATCAGAAATTAAAAATGTAATCTGATGAAACAAAAAAATGCATGAGATACAATAATGCAGAACTTTTGATAAGTGTTGGTTTGTTTCCAAATTTGTAATATCAATTATAATTTATGATACTCTAACAGTTAGTATATTGATTTGCATAAAAACGAAATCAAGATCCCAGTGCTTGCTTAAAAGAAATAATTGAAGAGTTTAAAAAAGACAACCAACAAATCTAAAATACTATATTAGGCTTACCATTTGTTTAAAACAACCGGAGCACTAAATCCTCTAAGATAATATTTTTGCAAAACAAGTGAGTTTTGATTGAATCCCAATGACAGACGTGGCTCTTTAACAGGAGACATAATAGTAGGTGTATTAGAAGAATGTAACTCGTGGACTTCACCACCATATGTAGAATTACAACACGAAATTACTTCAATATCCGAACTAGTGGTATTAGTATCAAAATCGTCATCGGCACATACTGGTTGAGCAGTGAATGGTAGTACTATATCAGATGAAGAACGATGCAAAGAGGTTATATCTTCATTGGGAATTGATTTATTCACTAACTGCAATTCCTTTTCTAGGGATGACAATTGCGAATTTGCATCAACAGCTGATTCTTGTGCAATGTATTCCGAAGAAATTGTTACCTTTGGTGCATCACACTTTTTTTCACATAAATCCTGTGATGTTTTTTGTTCAGTGACAGTAGAACAATCATTAACTAATGTAGAATCTATTTCCCACTGTAATACAGAAATATTAAATCCTGATTAGTTTGACAAATGGGTATTTAACTCTGAAAGTAAGTATGAATGTGTTGTTTAGATCAATAAAAGTACCAAGGCTATATTGCACTGCAACAGGTAATTTTCTAAAGTTCTAATATAAAAACAGTACCGTCAAAAGACCACTCATCGTATCTTCACCGAATAATTCGAGCGCGGTTCAGCAAACCTAAACTGTATGGGTATCGATAATAGAGCTAAGGCGAGAAAGCAAACACAACACTGAAAAAAATACCACTTTAAGGGTCATATCTTAGCTAATCTAAATGAAAGGATGAATCCCACAAGTACACTATAATCTTCAGGTGTTCTATAGACAATTATCCCTCAGAGAACTATCCAATAATTTATCTCTTACTGAATTCATGTGAACTGATTTGCTTTCTCAAGTCGCTCTGATTTATTAAAGATAAATGAATAATGTAAGAAAGTTCAGAAAATATAATAAGAAGCAACCCAGTTATTTATAACGCACAACAGATATTTGGAGTGACAGCAAGCAACATGTACGTGATGATATATCCGCTTTTAGATAATGAAATACCCTTTTAAGTCGTACAGTGAATTGCAGACCAACATTGAAGCAACAAAATAATATGAACTGAAAAAGTAGGTATAATCACATGGTTACTTTCCTTCCACCTTTTAGTATTGGATTGATAATACACACCGACTGTACTTCGTAAAAAACTATATATGAGCATACTTGTTGCTCTCTTACAACCTATGATAATTGAATTGTTACAAACTTACTTCAGATTCATAGATAAGCTAGTTTCATGTAAAATAGAGTAAACTTAGACATTTCATCATCTATAAGTGACACCTTAAAAACGAACAGGAATGCTCTGTGTACGAAACAGATAAATCTTTATTCTACGTCGTTCATGAACAATTACTTTGTGATTTAGTTTTTCAGTTTGTGTCAAAAACCAATTCCAAAAAGTAGGTTCGCAGATTCATCGAATGGGCGAGACTATAATTTATGGACGAACCAATCAGTTTTACGATAACAGGTCGTGAATTTTGGCGCGAAACTAATTAATTCATTTGTATAAATAGCATTTTGCCATTATAGCTGATGTCAGTTCCTGATGAAAACCCTAAATCTAATTCCTAACCCTAACTATCAACTGTACATATTAATCCTAATTCCTCACACTGGTTTATAACCCTCACATAACCGCAGTAAGTGAACATTTTCAAGATCTTTTTAGCATCGCTCAAAGGTCGTCCATAAAGTATAGTCTCACCTACAATTTTATTACCAACCTCAAAACAACCAACAATTGTTTGCACTTTCGTGTAGTAGCATAAGATAACTGCAAGGTACTTAATGAAGCAGTTCACATGAATCAGAGAATAAGTAAATCACAATTTTTCCTAGCCATCCACAACAAAAATCAAATTCGCCTACAGAATGTATTCGAATTATCACAAAATCAAGAATGTATCGTGTTAACGACGTAAACTTATTCGACATAACTACATACTAACTGAGAAAGAAGGTAAGAAAGTCATATAGAGTTTCCTCGACAAGTATTGCTTCACGATCGAACCGAGATCACTAAAATTACAGTTAACTGACAAAGTAAAATATCATCTAGCTAATGTGAATCGATTTGGACCACTATGAAATAATGAAGCTGATCGTTCGGATGCCCTAGGTTATAACAGATAGATGAAAGTTTCAGAGTTATATCCGAACGAACAATAGGCGGATGGTAACTGCTAGGATCTATTTATGAACTGTTATATATATATATATTCTTATTGCATAACTATTCAGTAACTATATGATATACATACTCACATTCCTTTTATTATAAGCTTCCGTTTGACTTATTGACTATTATTATATGACTTACTATCCTTAAGATATTCCTGATTTATTGGTTACATCCGCTCACAATCACATTCACTTTTGGCCTAATCTTGTATAATTGTTATTTTCTGTTTTTATGGTATGATGAGGTCTGGCTTGATTGTATATAAACTGCGTGTGTCTGAAATATATTATTCGTTTAATGGTGGCTGATATTGGTGATCAAGACTAAACCGGCTAGATTAAGAGAGAAGCTATTAACTCAATGGACCAATAAGAACTCATATTTGTCTCTGGACTGTTCATGCTGGTTCATGCATCATTTGGGGGACTTGTCGAGTGAGTCGGTGTTCGAGAATACTAAGCAATAGGAAGAGCTGGGTTATAACCGTGAAAGAATTTAACAGTGGCGACGAGGAAAAAGGAAAACAAAATCAAGATGTCCATATCAGATGACCAGCTTAACCGAATACTACAACAACAGCAAGCACAACTTGATGCACAAATGCGGTTGTTGCAGACTCTGGCTCAACAGCTTAACATTCACTGCCCGAGTTCACATGCTATTTCAAGCACGTCTTGTGATGCAGTCGCTAGCATCATCCCAGAATTCATCTATGATCCCGAAAGTGGAAATACTTTTCTCACGTGGTTTAAACGTTGGGAAGATACATTTACACAAGAATTCTGTGACCAAGACGATGCGTGGAAGACTCGACTGTTGGTACGTAAGTTGGGAAGCAATGAACATGCACGTTATACTGACCATATATTGCCAAAGTTACCTCGAGAGCTCAGTTTCGAGGAGACGGTAATTCAATTGTCAGAGATATTCGGTGAGTCATCCTTATTGTTTAGTATTCAACATCGGTGTCTAAATTTGGTGAAACGCGAAGCCGTTGAATATGGTGTTCTAGCAGACATCGTCAACAGAGAATGTGAATGGGTCAAGTTACGCTCGTTGACAGAAGATCAATTTAAATGCTTAATATTCATCAAAGCTCTTCAGTCACTACAAGATGCTGAGATCAGGACTAGACTTTTGGCTCGACTGGATCAAGACCCAAACGTCACACTCAGAACATTGACAGATGAGTGTAAGCGGCTAAAAAGCATCAGACACGAAAACGAGTTGATTGGACAGGCAAATCCTAATTTAACCTGCAGTAGTGTCAATGCTATTACCAGGTTAAAAGTTCAGAAGCCGATAACAACTGGTAACAAACCAACGACTGCATGCTGGTTATGTGGTGAGTGGCATTATGTACGATTCTGTCCATTCAGGCATAAACGTCAGGTGTGTAACAAACGTGGACATAAAGAAGGTCATTTTCCACCGAATCGTACGTCTCGGCCCAAGAAGCGCAAGCGTCCTCGACGCACCAGATCCTACGAATCTGCTCAAAGGGGAGGTGTTAGCGGGACATAGACTGGATTAAAGCATGCTCAATGCATGATTGCTTTGGTGCACGCTGATGGGCTAATTCTTATCCAACCAGCGTTAGCCAATACTTAGCGAACACTCTAGAAATCTTCTCATGTGAAAAACTATAAATATACTAACGTTTTCCCTATTGCACTTACTTGCTTCTTACTTCAATGTAACCTTGTTATTTGGAATATAATCTCTTTTCCTGCTCAACCGTGTTCTGATTTTGGGGACTTGTCAAGTGAGTCGGTGTCCAAGAATACTAAGCAATAGGAATAGCTGGGTTATAACCGTAAGGGAGAGAATATAACATAAGTCGGTGTTTCTAAATGGGGACTAAGTCACACGATACATTAACAGGCCATAAGTACATAACAGTCAGCTTAACCTGAGTATACTGAGTTGACCTGGAACTCATACTAAATTACCAAACCAGTCAGTCAGTAATAACGTAGAACTTCGTACGTACGTACATCAGTTCGAGTTGCCACATCACATTAGCACAGAGATGCAGTGGTCGATTCAAAGCCCGTAGTGGTAGAGGTAGCAAAAGTATAGGTAGTAATCGGAAAGATTAGGGTTTGAAGATGTTATTCAAGGAGTATAATACAGTGAAATAAATTTGGAAAGAGAAAAAAAAGGGACATGAAGAATTCAAAAGATTAGAATTTGGGAGAACACAAAGAGTGGATGCACCTGCGTCATTGCAAACGATTTTGAGCCATGTCATTTAAGGTCTCTAACCGTCGGTTGTTATCGTCTCGCTGATCCCAACCAGGTAGTCTACACCTATCAACATGACTCAGTCCACTTGTCAGTGACTTCATCGATTTGTGCCATGTTCTGGTCTGGCCGCCCCTAGCTTTCTTCCAACCTACTCCTACACCATAAAACATCGTACGTTGGGGCAGTCGGTGGTTGGGCATACGTAACACGTGTCCCAGTCATCTCAACTGATAAAGTTCCAATACTTCATCAGTTGATTCACCATCCTTACCTAGTATCCGCTTCCTAACAACTGCATTACTTACTCGGTGGTCCCAAGATACACGAGCAATGTTTCGAAGACACCTATGATCGAATACTAGTAACCTACGAATATCCTCTACTCTTACCGGCTATGTTTCACTGCCATAAATTAGGACCGAACGAACTGCTGCGCAGTAAACACGTCCTTCGGTTGATAGACAGATATCTCGCCTACGCCATAAATGACGCAAGTTGGTAAAAGCTAATCGAGCCTTCTGTATCCGTGCTGAGATTTCGTCACACACCAGACCACAAGGACTGATGAGACTTCCAAGATAAGTGAAGCGGTCGACACGCTCAACTACTTCACTCCCTATCATTAGTTCGGGTGTCGATGCAACCCAATCCTGAAGTAACATTTTGCATTTCGAGGGCGGAATCGCATGCCGAACGTGTTTGCATTGTTGCTTAGAGTGGTCAGAAGACTCTGCATTTTGTCAGCGTCTTCACCAAATAGAACTATGTCATCGGCATATTCCAAGTCAACAATCGAATCTCCCGGAGGGATGTTCAACACCTTGTAATTTAGATGAGGAAAGTGTTATCTCTAAAAGCATGTCTACGATAAAGTTAAACAAGGATGGAGAGAGTGGACAGCCCTGACGAACACTACTTGAGGTAATCAATTCTGATGACAGTTCTCCATAAGTTCTCACTCGGCCAGTTGTGTTCCAGTAGAGGGCTTTTATAAAGTTAATGTACTTCTTTGGTACTCCTTTCAGTGACAAACGCTGTCATAGAATCTCACGATCAACAGAGTCAAATGCCGCCTTAAGGTCAACCTACTTAACATAAGACAGTAAGCAGCCTGATCTAACACACTTTACATGTTTTGCTTTATTATAAATTTTCATTATTGTGGCATGGGTTAAAATTATACAAACACCAAGCAGACACACTGTAATGCCCAATAAAAGATGGAACTGACGTGGTTTATTGATCACTTGTAAAACAAAATATCCTTTTCTTGTTAACCAATGAATCAAATTTACCTGATCTCAAAATTCTAGATTGCTATACACACATGAAAAAATATGCTTAAAACCTTGAATATATAAAATTATCACCAATAACGTGTTCGAAGTTAGAAACAATCGGATTATTCGATTATTTTATGGACTGTAAAATGAGATACTATTTGATCTAAAGAAAACGTGTGCACGATTTTTGTAACACCACCCTGACAAAATGGAGAACTACATGCATGAAAAAGCATTTGGGAACATTTTAAACAGGATAAGCGGAAATCAAAACGAATGAAATTCTGTCTGGCAAAAGCAAGTAACAAGTATGTACAAAGCAATAAATCTGTCACGTGTAAAACTTAGCCGGTGTTTTAAATTTAAGTGAAATTAGTAACAAACCCTTGTTACTAAAAGTTGGGTCATGCATAGATTGTAGAAGTACAAGAATATCGTAATACGCTCTTAGAAAGTTGCGCATCAAAATGTCACCTCATAAATATGAATGTATCGCTGTTTGTATTCCATCCGACAAAAAAATATCATGACCTTAACAAAAAAGACAGATATTTTTAAATGTTCAAAACAGTGAGTGGAAATGGTAAAATAAGATCTGTTTGTATATATCTTTCTTAGTAGAAGAAAACATAAGATGTGAAGACCTACCAACTCATCAGTTTTAGTGTTCTCATCAGTTAGCACCTTATCAGAATCACTGGATGCGAAATTGTCTGATTGATCGTAAACAACTTTTTCCAGAGAATCCACAAGAGGTGAGTGATGACTTCTCAACCTTGTTGAACAAGATCTCTCCAAATCTCCACAATCGCTGCCTACTTCACACTCAGATTTCTCTGAAATTAGGTAGTAACCAGTGATGTTAATTAATGAATCTAAGAATGAAAAAAGCTTTCAGCCTCACTTTACTAATATTATTTGAGATTGAAAATACGAAGTAAGCATATGAATGCAATACAAATAAACTAAAAGACGTTACCTGTAATTATATTAATCTTCAATGTTAACGACTTTTCTCACAGTTAATATCCTATGCCATTGAACTGTAATTTTATACCGCCAAAAAGTTACATCTTTATTTATTTTTGACAATGGAACACTGAATTTAGATAAAATAAACGGTGATGGTGCTAGTGCTATTGCAAACAAATAACTTATTCAAGAAATGAGATTTTATTTATTTATTTATTTGAACACATAAATATTGGTACAAGGGGGCACCAGATATTTATGCGCCACACAAAACAATGTGAATGAGGAAAAAAAAAGAAAAGGAACAATAAGGACCAGATTAGTGTAACGAAGTGTAACAATAATAATAATGGGGGATACGGAAAGGTACAGTCAAAAAGAATTCTTTCAGTTAAGGAAGATACAACCATTTTTTTTATGAAGAAAGTAAAAGAAGTTTACAGCAGGATCGCCACTGGCTTCTATTTTGAGCCATATCTGATAACGTCTCTAGCCACTGTGTTTCACCATCTCTCCGACCTAAGCCAGCGAGTCGTGAAAGACCAACAGAAGCCAGTCCCGTGCAGCTTTCTTTCATACCCCGACACCATGTCATGCACTGACCACCTCTCCGCTTGTTCCAACTAGTCCCAGAGTCGGCAAGTAATGCACGACGTGGGATTCTCTGGGACAACATTCGTAGAATATATCCAAGCCACCGAAGTCGACGTTTCAGGATGATGACACCAATTGAATTATCGTCTCTGCGCCCAAATACATGATGCCGAACCTCTGCATTACTGACATGGTGTTGCCACTGGATGTCAGCAATCCTTCGGAGACAACGATGATCAAACACAGAGAGTCGTGTAACACCCTCAACTCGGAGAGGCTAGGTTTCACAAGCATAGAGCAAAACTGCTCTCACCGACGCGTTTTAGGTCCGACCTTTTACAGCCAGACTGACATTACGAAGGCGCCAAAGATGGCGCAGATTGGCCTAAGCCGCTCCAGCTTTCACTATACATGCATTGATCTCATCACTCACACCCCCACCAGCACTTATGCAGCTACCTAGATACACAAACTTCTAGACTACTTCTATCTGCTCCACATCCAGAGTGAGTACAGGATTAGAATCCTGACAGTCTTGTAGAAGTACTTTGCACTTCAAACGTGCGAAGCACATACCGTACCTACGGACATTGATTGACCACTGATTAAGTGCGGATTTCATGACTTGGACATTATCACAGAGTAAGACAATATCATCCGCATACTCAAGGTCGAGAAGTCTTTCTCCAGGCAACCGATCCACACTGCCATTAATTACAACCATCAGAGCTGTTTCCAGAATGTCATCGATGGCAAAGTTGAAGAGGAGTGGTGAGATTGGGCAACCCTGTCTAACCCCACTGCTCGAATGGAACAATGAAGAGAGGTAGTTGTACGCCATCACTCTGTCTGAGTTGTTTGCATATAGGGTCTTTAAGATGTTAATTAACTTCTCAGGAACACCCTTCTTCAATAGACAGTCCCTCAGAACAGTCCTGTCCAACGAATCGAAGGCAGCCCTGATGTCAAGAAACACTACGATTGTTGGACTGTGATAAGTATGACGGTGTTCTAACATTTGGCGGAGGGTGAAGATATGATCAATACATCCTCAACCAGAACGAAACCCAGCCTGCTCCTCGAGAGTCAATCTTTCTCGAGTTTTGAACAACCTACGAAGTATGACGGAAGCCAATAGCTTGGACGCGATCGGAAGTTGACTTATCCCCTGATATTTGTTACAGAAACGACGTGAACCCTTTTTAAAGATAGGGACAACCATCGACTCATTCTATGACGTTGGTACACTCTCTAGCTCCCAAACCTTTGTAAACAACGTTGTCAGTTATTTAACCAGGAAGTCACCACCATCTTTAAAAAGAGCCGGAGGTAAGTCATCTGGGCCAGGTGATTTGTAGCGCTTCAAGAGTTAGAGTTCCTTGCGGACTTCCGCCTCATTTGGTGGATCAGTCGTCACCGGTCATGGAGGGCAGGACAGTCTGACCGATGTTGCCGAAGCAGCAGGCCAATTGAACTGTCCCTCGAAGAATTCTGCCAATCGTCCAAGACGTCGATGGATGTCAGTGATTGGCATCCCGTCATCCTCGCAGATTGTTTCACTCACACCAGACTTCTTGCTGCCAGTGGCTCGGATGAGCTGCAAGCGGCTTTACTCGCCATTTTGATGGCGTCGTGAAATTGCTACCAACTTGCTGACATCAATCCTTTGGTGGCGGTCACTTCGTTGGCCACTGAGAAGTAAGGTAAGATTGGCGCAAACAAGGGCATGATCAAAGTCCAGATAGGTACACCAAAAGCAGTGGCAGTCTTGTACACAACCACGCCAGCGGTAGCTGATCGCGATGTGATCAATCTGAGTCCAGGCTTGAGATGCAGAGGGAGGACTCCAGGTGGCACATCGGCGATGACTGTGCCGAAAGTTAGTACTAGCCAGAAACGGGTTGTGGTATGTACACAGTTGCAGTAGACGGTCCCCGTTATCTGTCCTGCGACCAATACGTCCCAATCGGCCACCTAAACGATTCTCTTCTGTGCCTAGACGCCCGACCTGAGCATTCAAGTCTCCAGCTAGTACTACAATGTCTGTCGGACGCACTATCTGGAGAAGAACAGTTAACTGGTTATAGAATTCATCCTTGATTGCATCCGGGTTGCAATCTCTCGGGACATAAGCAGAGATGACGAAAAGACATCGTTTCTCACGCCGATTTCTTCTCACTTCGATAAAATAAGCAGTGGGCGTGCTAGTGCCATTGCAAACAAATAACTTATACGAGAGATGAGAAATACTATGCTAAGTTTAATGTCACCACCACAGCGATTATCTATTTACAAAATGCTTCAATATGAGCGCTTATGTGAACTACTCGTACCAGAGCAAAGACTGAAACAATGTATGAAGCTTTATAAAAATGTAATTTTCTAGGGCTCCATGCTTCCTTTGAGTAAAACAATGATGCATCAAGAAAAATATTTAAGAAATTTAAACGATACATGTAGTAAATAGAAGAAAGAAAACTGCAAAAAAACGAACGGCAACACTGAATGAAAGATATAGAACAATTTGATGTCGAAGACGTACAGGAAGATCATGATAGTGAATACAAATTGCTTAATGTAACTGATTTGATGTGTATCACTAAGTCTCTTACTAATGATTACAGTCATTTCATCAGTTCATCAGTTCAGCTTTTATCTGCCCGAAGAATAAGCCACTGACTAACCTATCTATCCAGAAGTATTTGTTGAAGTGTTCATTACATACTCCCTAATAATGTTAAAACCGTTTGATCTAGACATTTCATTGAGACAGTCGATAAGTACCACTAACCTTTATAATAAGGTTCACAACTGACGTGGTTAGTCCGTACCTCGTAAGTGAATTACACAGTACCCATCTTGATCTGATCAACCATGACCGAAAAACGGATGGCTGATAAGTTACCCTTACGTTTCATAGGACTTGAGTAATTAACCAGGTGCAGGGTAATCCTAACGCGATGTACACTTGTCAAAGTAAAAAAATTTACATATTATCAAGACCATATGTAATTTTATAAAAATCGGCGAGACTCTAATTTATGGACGAGCTATTCAGAAGCGTTTTAGAGATTTCAATGTTACGGTGCCAACTTCAGTACCGAAAGCTAACGTACGATCGGTTTACAGGGAATTTTGTACAAAACGTGATAATTGAGCGTCTATAACAAATAAAACGGCGAGACTATAACTTGTGGACGAATCAATCAGATATAAGTTAACAGATTTACCATTTTAACGCGAAAGCCTTTCATCCATTTGGCTAAACAGATTTCTGGTATTATAGCTGTCAGTTCGTGATGGAAACCCTATATATAATTCTCAAATAAGGCAAATTATGAAAATTATCGCGAACTGGATAGTAAAAGCACCAGTAACACTGGCTGCAGCCCGGTGCTACAATATATACGGATGTTTGGAGAGCGTATAGACTCCTATATAGGCTTGGTTATGTGTATCGTATCGTCATCCACAAGCGGCATTTTGTGTAGTCAACAACCGGAGTGCACATAAACAATATTGAAGCTATGTGGTTGAGTCTGAAAGAGTTCTTGAGACTTTATCATGGCTCCAGAGGATGACTATTCTGTAGCCGTATGGATGATTTCCTCTACTGCATGCATTACGATTTTAGAACCTCTGAACCTCTTTCTAACCTTGACAAGTTTTTGAACCACGTATTAGAATTGTATCCACTTTATTTCCTTGGTTTTGTGTAATATATTTTTACTACATACTTACTGTTTGCTGGTTGGCTAATATTTCCTCAAGGTCACTTAATATTCGTTCAAAGGTCGTCCATAAATTAGTCTCGTCGAAAAATCCATAAGCTAAGACTACATGATGCCTATATTGAGATTATTAAACAGACCTGTACATTTTTAAAGGTTACTATTAAAATTTAATCCAGTATTCCAAATAACAACACAAGTTTGTATTAAAACCGAGGATTTCACATAAGCTCCACATAATATTATAACGTTAAGTGATAGGTATCACGTTAGGGTACGTTAGTTAAGTTAGGCTACCCTAACTTACATAGTCTAAACGACATAATGGCGGTAAGAACAACAGGGTCACTCAACATTTCGGTTTGAAGATTTCATACTTAAAGTAAGATGTCCAGAAAAATATATCCCTTTGGATCACAGCACAGTCGTAATCAGATTACACCGAGAAATACGCTCGTGAACGGCCCTACACAGAATAGAGATCCATAAACTATCGAATACAAACAGTTGAAGATGTACGGCGCATTTTTTCGTCACATTTCATTAATGTTCATCTCTAACTTGCTCTGTACAAATGGTACGAACAATAAGGACATACTAGAAAAGGTACAGAGGGCAGCTACGCGTGCAATTCCGGAACTCCGGGGTTTATCATATAAAGAGCGGCTTGAAAAACTGAACCTCTTTACTCTATCCTATCGCAGACTAAGGGGAGATCTAATATTGATGTACAGAATACTGAGAAATGATTTCGGACCTAACTTATTCTCTCTCTTTCTTCCCACTAGATCGGGACACCTCAGAGGACATAGCAGGCGAGTAGAAAAGCCAAGAACGAACAAAATACCCGTGGCATACAGGTTTTCACACCGAGTCATCAATACTTGGAACCTGCTGCCTGAAGCAGTGGTGTCCGCACCTTCAATTGACTCTTTCAAGAGAAGACTGGACACTGACAGAAGCATACTAGAAAAGGAATAACACAGGCCGCAGGCCTTCTGTCCTTACTACACAAATCTGAAAATAAAAACAGATCAGACCTTTCAAGAACTAAGTATCGCAACATCAAAAAATAACCCACTCGGTTTCGGTTCACAACGACTTGATTCATTTAGTTTAAAAGATACTAATGTTTCCGTTGCGTCAACTTGTCTAGTTGAATATTCGAATAGCGTAGGCAGTGCGTTTTGATTAGTAGCTTCATCCGTGATATCGAGAACTTCATCTATTTTTTGTTGAGCACTTTTCAAGGCTGTGATCGCAAATTTTGAAATGTTGCCTGCTTTCTCCAATGAATTCCACCAATTCATCTCATAGCTAGCTCCGTCAGTAACCTTGAGGTAGAGAACAAATTTGAGTGATTCTTCTGCCACTATTCAATTTAACAGTTATGTATGCATATTAATTTGCTCATAATCGCATGCTAGCATTTCCATTTTCTCCACTTCTTTGTGATATTCACGTTATTTCTTCACATGAATATTACACTTTCATATTATGCACTCACCGCTCACGTGAAATCGTACTCTGTCAGAAATAGTAAGAGTAGTCTTTGCTACTTTTTATTGACGTTAACAACAAGCTTCTTTAGCGTCAGTTTTAGAAACAAGCATTTTTTAAACAGGTGTGCTATGTTCCACGGGGAGGTCTCGCGGCGCACCATATCAAGCCCACATGGATTATTCTACCCACCGGAAAGACAAATCAGCTTTTTCTACCTGAGTCACGTTTTGAATTTCTTAAGTATTCGCTTATTAGCAATGTCTGTCTTATGTGAGCTCACGTGTGTTCAATGATTACCCTGCCCATCATGTGCCTATGATATAATGTCGTCCGACCATAAATATTGAGTTCCACCGAACACACCATAACTAAAGGCGCTCAGTTATGCATTTGCACGGTTTGTTAGTGGGTGTGCCGTGCCACTCATACCTTGAAATTACTCGTGTGGGTTCTGATCTACTTAGTGTTGCTGGGGTGAAGTTATGTAATCCAATACTTAAAAAGAGACAAATGGAAACGAGGCGCGAATCACATAGAAAGCTTCACATGTTAGGAATCGAGAAGAGTTTGGGCTTGCCGAATTAAAAAGCAAGGGTGTTACAGGAGAACTGAAAATATTTAATCAATTAAGAACTGCAGTACTAAATATTAATAAGTTTGTTGTTTTGAGTGTATATGTTTTGCCCAACTTTTAAACTTGTTCGTTCATATCTTTGACCTCGGACATTATGGTTTCACTCTGTTCGATTTCGTATTTTAAAAGTTTTGCACTGGCAAACCAAAAATTGAACGACGTTGTGTTTGAGCTGACCACATATAATTTATGAATAAACTATCTTACCTGAAATGGAATTTGATTCTCTTGTTATTTGAGGTCATAAGTTACGAGTGGATCAATCGACCGTGCTTCAATAACTGGTCGATGAGTTCAAGGAGGTGTTGCACAATATTATAAATAATGTTGGTCAGCCGAGAACTGATGTTGTATATTTTGATGTACAGCCTGATCAATATCTCTGCTTTTTGGTCAGTTTACTGACATTATCGGAAATAAGTTGTCCGATAAAAGTTAAATGTTATATCTGCTGTACTAGTTGGAAGGAAAAATCAGGATGGCGATCTGGCTTATTTTTACCCAGTGATTTGGATTATGATAGGGCAAAACAATTTTCATAAGATCTTTTTAAAAGGGAGCATCTTGTTGCCTGTTAAATAATTACGGAATTACCATGAAGATGCCACAGGTATTAGGAGTTTGAAAACGCTTTTGCCAGTAACACCTTCTATATGAAGCGTACCCACCAAGTGAAATCAAAAGACAGAAGCGACGAGGTTTGAAGATATATTCGATAAGTTATCACTATGTCGAGGATCGTCTGATCTAATCTGGATAGCGATTGCAATAGATGTTGAGCACGGAGTTCCCACTCGTGATCTGGTGCGGATGCATGACTGAGCGCCTTCAGCTAGGTGAGTCCATTAAAACATATGATCAGCATCCAATGTCGAAAAGTTACAGAGCTATTTATTTCGGGGATTTATTTACCGCCACAGATCACTCCGCCCCTAGTGGGGTGGTGATGACCCTAAGACGTGGCCAGCCAGAAGTTTAAGCCCAACGAGTTTTGTCGTTGGTAAACACTCTTCTGATAATTTGCTAGGTTAAGCAGCGTCTGGTCGTCTTTCCTTACTATTAGGGACCATGAAATACTATATAGTAAAAAATAATGTACAATAAAAAATTTTGGTTACTCATAAACTTTATCGTTCTTTTTATCGTCTTTTCCAGCCGTCCTGGAAAAGAAAAGAAGAAAATGTGAATGCATTTGGAAATAAACTCGTACGGGCTTCAAGACACAAAATTGGCGAAAAAAGGTAAATAACGTAAAGGCGTTCTCGATCCCTCACGTGTTCATTTATATCAGGCCAGCAAAATCGTTCTGCTATGAGCTTGATGGTTGCACGAACACCTGGATGAGAACGTTTGTGCAACGTATTGAATACATTGCGTCGATAACGTTTCGCCAAGATTGGACGATCCCTACCTGTAGATGTGTCACACAGTAAGGTTACCTTACTTGTTCCATCTGTTTGATTCTTAGCTTGAGTGTTGTCGACGATAACTCGTGCTGAAGATCAGTGTCTTCTTTTTGAAGCTGGGCGCGTTTAAGAAGGTCGATTTCTTGGAAACTGTCCAAGGAAGTTATGCGAGACAAGGCGTCTGCAATTACATTGTTTGCTCCAGAAATGTGTTGGATGCCTGAAGTAAACTGCGAAATGTAGTCCAGTTGTCGATACGCACGATGTGAGTACTTGTCTGAAGAGGAGCTTAACGAGAAAGTAAGAGGTTTATCGTCAGTGAAAAGGGTGAATTCACGGCCTTCGTCATAGTGTTGAAAATGCCGTACAGCACAATACATATATAGGAGTGCCCTACCGAATGTGCTGTACCTCGATTCAGTGTCTGGCAACCGTCTAGAGAAAAATGCCAAGGGTTGCCTGGAGTTGTTAACCCACTGTCGTAAGACTCCTCCGATTGCTGAGTCCGATGTGTCTACTGCGATACTAATGGGTGCTTCAGTGTCATAATAAGCAAGCATTGTTGCTTTAGCGATCAGTTCCTTAACTGTGGAGAATGCTTTTCGTGTGGTGTCGTCCAGTTTGATGGATTTCGTAGTTCCAAGAAGTTGGTCGGTAAGAAGTTTCATAAGTAACCCGCATTTAGGTATGAGTCGTCTATAGAGACTTACGAGGCCGTTAAACGTTCGTAATTGCTTGATCGTGGTCGGTTCTGGGTGATCCAGAATGGCCGTCACTTTGGTTCCAAGGGGTCGAATGCCGTGCGCATCATTAGTGTGTCATAGGAAGTCTAATGATTCAGTTCCAATTTTGCATTTCTGAATGTTTTCAGTAATGCCATTTTTTATAGTTGATCGAAAACAAGATCCAGATGCTTGAGATGCGATTCTCTGTCCGGACGTGCGATAAGGTAGTCGTCAACATACGCATGTACGAAGTTGAGACCTCAAAAAACGTCTATGAACCTTTGGTAGGTTTGTGCAGCGTTTCTTAAACCGAAGGGCATTAGCGAAGATTCGTAGAGTTCAAACGGAGTTTTGATAGCTGTTTTCGGAATTTCTTCAGTGGCCATGGGAATTTGGTTATATGCTTTAACCAAGCCGATTTTTGAAAAGACGGTTGTACCTTTCTAGGTAGCTGTTAAACCGTAAATGTTAGGCAACGGCTAACGGTTAAGAATGGATTTTGCATTCAGTCTCCGATAATCACCAGTTGGACGCCAATCGTTGCTGTCCTTTCTAGAGACAATATGCAACGAAGATGCACATGGGTTGTTTGACGGTCGTATGATTCCTAAGTCTACCATGTGGTCAAATTCCTTTTTGGCCAACCTTAGCTTTTCGGGGGCTAATCGTCGTGCTTAAGAGAATACAGGTGGTCATCTAGTCGTGATGTGATGTGTAACGTTGCTGGTTGCACACGGTAGTTTCGCTTGCGTTTGTTGTATTCCAGGATACTTATCGAGTAGTGGTTGATAAAGTGGATCTATCGTATGTTTAATAGTAACCGGGGATAATCTGCCACCAGAAAAAGAAGTAACGCAAACGGATAATTTAGTGTTTCCGTCTACTAGCCTCCGTTTTCACGTATCGATGACTAGATTATGTTGTTGCAGAAGGTCCATACCAATAATTGGCATGGAAACATCTGCAACAACGAAAATCCACTGAATGGGTCTGCGTAAACCGACGTTAAGATAAACATACCTTTTGCCATACGTAGCGATAGGTTTTCCGTTTGCCGCCTGTAAGTTTAAAGCCGATTCGTGAAGCCGGTCGTTGGGATTGGCTGGGAGAACGCTAACTTCCGCGCCAGTGTCGACGAGGTAGAGAACTCTCGTTGTCACATCTGTGACGTATAACAGACGGCTATGTTCGTCGGCTACGGTTGCCATTAACGCGTGCCGGCTTGGAAGTTTCCCGAGTTGTTTTTCGTGTTGTTCAGTTTTGAGTTGGGAAAGTTCCAGGGTTTTCTTCAATTTCTGGAAGACTTTCCATACTGGTTACGATACCAGCACCAGTCGGGATTATCCGTCTCTTGTGGTCTAGAGACAGATCGCTTATGGTCGTTACACAGTTTAAGATATCGCGTGAGTGTATGAGATCACTTTGTTGTATCATTCTGAGTCGCTTGAGGCTTTTCTTCAACTGAAAAATCCTCGGCGTTGGATTTTATGATTTCTAAAATGCGGTGGGCAGATGCAGCCAGCTCGTCTAAGGCGTTTTTGTGAAACAAGACAAGCACAGTTTGCACCTGTTGAGGAAGTTTGGATAAGAAAAGTTGTCTAAATAGGCCATCATCAAAGGTTCTTTGGCAAAACGTTTAAGAATTGATTAGCTCCGTAGAAGAAATGGCCAGGGTTGCTCAAGAACATATGGGAGATAGGCACAACTTAACTCTGAGTCTGGTTAAAAAGGCTTAGAAGTCAAAGTTGATAGCAGAGAAAGCCTAAATGTTTTTAAGCATAATATAAGCAACTCAGTTAATTTTGCAAAATATGAGCTTTGCCAAGATGATCACGAGGTGACAGATTGTACAAAGTTATTGGGTATGAATGTCATGGAATGGCGACTAGAATTGGAAAGATGTGGTCTCTGTTATCTGTGTTTGAGAAAGGGTCACATAGCTTGGTTTTGCAACTCGGGCATAAATTGGGACGTTGAGAACTGCGAAATTCAACATAATTCGATGCTACATATTGGTGGCAATAGCAACCATTTAGTGAATTAAAATAAGGATTAAAACATATCGAAGGTCTGTTAGGGTACTATTCTGGTCA